ATTTGCGGTAGGGAAAATCAGGAAATGTGCCATCTATTTGTGAGCCGAGCTCACCCAAGACACACAGATGCTCTCTCCATGGTCCACAGGTCCACTGAAAGTGTCCAGGCCCATCCCTGTCTCCGATGAATTGTGCTCCTTTGAGTGCGCTGAACAAAATTCCAAACCATGCCAGAAGCATCTTTTTGAGCAAGCAGTTGATATATATATATATATACACGCATCAAGGCAAGAGGGCGCTGGTCAGGCGCGATTTGTGTGAATGGAGTGAACGTACTGTATATGGCATGATTCCCCACTTTGATTTGTCACCCCTGCGCTTTTCCTGGCGCTGCGCCACATGTTTGTTTTTTTGGAGGGCCATGCTGATGAAACAGTGTTTTCCGCCAATTGCCTGCATTCTGATGAGCAGGAGCCGCAAGCAGAGGGAAATGCTTCAAAAGCTGGCGAGGCGCGAGCAGCACCAGCTCATTTGTGTGAGCGGACTGGGCGTAGATGCACTTTGACTTGTCTCCCTGTGACTCATTGTCCCACGTAGAGGGAATTGTGCCATCTACTTTTGTACGCCTGAGGCCCTTTGCCGATTGTCAGGTTCAAAGACACTTGCGTAAGTGCAGACTGCTTGCTTTGATTGAATGACATTATTGTGGTTCAGTGGCGTCTGTGAGGGGCACCCTTGTCCTGATTGTTTTTCCCCTTTTTTCAAGCCGGGTTTGATAAAGAGTTTGCAGTTTCAGGGCTGGGGATGGTTTTCAAATTTCAAAGGTTTCAGCTGGCTTTGGGTTCTGTGGTTGAGTAACCAATGGAAAGGGGGATGCTTTTAAGCAAGTCCAATTGAAAGGGGAATGCTTTTGAGTAAAGCAACTGATAGTTTATTTTCTGGGAGGGGGGGGCTGGGGGATTGTTTGGGAGGGGATGGTTTTGTTAAATTATTGTTTGCGGATTTTTTCCCGGAAGCATTGCGAAGGGTTCTTCTTCTAAAAGCGGCTGCCAACTTCACCTGCCAACTTCTCATGCCAACTTGTCGAGAGTTACTTCACCTGCCAACTTCTCATGCCAACTTGTCGAGAGTTACTTCACCTGCCAACTTCTCATGCCAACTTGTCGAGAGTTACTTCACCTGCCAACTTCTCATGCCAACTTGTCGAGAGTTACTTCACCTGCCTACTTCTCATGTCAACTTTTTGAGAGTTACTTCACCTGCCACTTCTCATGTCAACTTTTCGGCTGTTATCTCATTCTACTAAAAGCACAAGCTAATTTGTCGGGTGTTACTTCACTATCCTAAAAACACAAGCTAACTTTTCTGTTCTACCTTCACTTCTCGACTCTTAATTCTTCTTCTTTTTATGGCGGGGGTAGGCCCGACGGGAGCTTACGAAACGCACCCCTCTGCGGAGATCGTGCGTGTCGAAGCGCTCTCGCTGTGGCGCCGTGCGAATTTGTCTTGAGCCGGCGAACCCTCTGCGGAGATCGTGCGTGTCGAAGCGCTCTCGCTGTGGCGCCGTGCGAATTTGTCTTGAGCCCGGCGAACCCTCTGCGGAGATCGTGCGTGTCGAAGCGCTCTCGCTGTGGCGCCGTGCGAATTTGTCTTGACCTTGGCGAACCCTCTGCGGAGATCGTGCGTGTCGAAGCGCTCTCGCTGTGGCGCCGTGCGAATTTGTCTTGACCTTGGCGAACCCTCTGCGGAGATCGTGCGTGTCGAAGCGCTCTCGCTGTGGCGCCGTGCGAATTTGTCTTGACCTTGGCGAACCCTCTGCGGAGATCGTGCGTGTCGAAGCGCTCTCGCTGTGGCGCCGTGCGAATTTGTCTTGACCTTGGCGAACCCAAGCGCTCTCGCTGTGGCGCCGTGCGAATTTGTCTTGAGCCCGATGAACCCTCTGCGGGGATCGTGCGTGTCGGATCGCTCTCGCTGTGGCGCCGTGCGCATTGTCTTGAGCTGAACCCTCTGCGGAGATCGTGCGTGTCGAAGCGCTCTCGCTGTGGCGCCGTGCGATTTTCTTGCTCGCGAAACGGCTTTTGGAAGTTGTCTCGTGGTGTGCGCGCCTGCTTTCGCAATCCCGCGGTCCCGGGTTCGATTCCCCCCTGGTCCGCGGCAGCTCCGGCTTGAAAATCGCAGCTTTTAAGTACAAACGTAGTACGCGGAGCGTGCTCCTGCAGCTCCGGCTGGAAAATCGCAACTTTTAAGTACAGACGTAGTACGCGGAGGCTGCTGCAGCTCCGGCTGGAAAATCGCACTTTTTAAGTACAGACGTAGTACGCGGAGCGTGCTCCCGCAGCTCCGGCTGGAAAATCGCAACTTTTAGATACAAATGGCTGGAAAATCGCAACTGTAAATTGCAAATGTAGCACGCGGAGCGCCTCCGCCGCTCCAGCTTTTTGAGGGTTAATTACTTCACCTGCCAGTTTCTCATGCCGAAACTTCGAGAATTACTTCACCTGCCAGCTTCTCATGCCACCTTTTCGAGAGTTACTTCACCTGCCAACTTCTCGTGCCAACTTTTCGAGGAGTTACTTCACCTGCGAGCTTATCATGCCAACTTTTCGAGAGTTACTACACCTGCGAGCTTCTCATGCCAACTTTTCGAGAATTACTTTACCTGCCAACTTCTCATGCCAACTTTTCGAGAAATACTTTACCTGCCAACCTCTCGTGGCAACTTCACCTGCCAACTTTTCGAGAATTACTTCACCTGCCAACTTCTCATGCCAACTTTTCGAGAAATACTTTATCTGCCAACCTCTCGTGGCAACTTTTCGAAAAATTACTTCACCTGCCAGCTTCTCATGCCAACTTTTCGAGAGGTACTTCACCTGCCAACATCGCCTGCCAACTTTTCGAGAGTTACTTCGCCTGCCAACTTCTCGCGCCAACTTTTCGAGAATTACTTCGCCTGCCAACTTCTCATGCTAACTTTTCGAAAGTTACTTCACCTGCCGGCTTCTCACGCCAACTTTTCGAGAGTTACTTCACGCGCCATCTTCTCGTGCCAACTTTTCGAGAATTACTTCACCTGCCAGCTTCTCACGCCAACTTTTCGAGAGTTACTTCACCTGCCAACTTCTCATGCCAACTCTTTGAGAGTTATTTCACCTGCCAACTTCTCATGCCAACTTTTCTCTTGAGTTACTTCGCCTGCCAACTTCTCATGTCAACTTTGCGAGAATTACTTCACCCGCCAACTTTGCCAGCCAACTATTCGAGAGTTACTTAACCTGCCAGCTTCTCATGCCAACTTTTTGAGAATTGCTTCGCCTGCCAACTCCTCATGCTAACTTTGCGAGAGTTACCTCACCTGCATCAACTTGCCTCTATGCTTCCGGGTCACTCGTTGTCTAGTTTTGGAACTTTCTTCCCGGGCAAAAACACTTTCAATTATTCTGGTCCCCTTCAACAATGTGGGCGAACCAGAATAAGGAAAACAACTTTCCATTATTGAAGTCCAGTTGGTTAATCAAGTGCTAACATTATCAGCGCATCACCGCCAAATCTTTTGATGGGTCAAGTGCGACCTACGAACGTGCTTGTTTTTGCAGTTGTGTGCCAGTTTGTTTTTGGCGTGTGTGTTTCTTGGAAATATACCTTTGTTTGAAATACTACCTAACGAACTGTGGAAGCTGTTTATTGTTGTCTCATTGTTTGGCAAACTTGCTTTTTACATTTGATGGGCTTTAAAACTACATTTTGCATTTCGAATATTTGTTATGAAATGAACTAGTTTTTTCTATTCAATTTCTGAATTAGAAACACTTTTTTTTGACAATAAGCAATGTGAGTTTTATAATATTGAATACTTATTTTTGATTCCACCCAAGGCATTTGAATGATACAGTTTTCAAACCATGAATTTGAAAGTGGTGGGGGGTGGGGCTGGGCGGTGTGGGCGGGCGGTGTGGGTGAGTGGGTGGGTGGGTGCGTGCGTGGGTGGGTGGGTGGGTGCATAGGTGGGTGCATGGGCGGGTGGGTGGGCGGCCAGGCGGGCGGGTGGGGTGGGCGGGGCAGGGCGGGGTGGGGTGGGGCGGACAACTCACCCCCAACACTCAAGAATGTTTTCTGAGGTTTTGGGGTAGAGTTTGGAACTGATTCTCGGGGAGAACTTGGTTTGATCGGGGCAAAACCAACTTTGCAGTATCAGAAAGCACTTGGATGGTTCTTTCTCACATTCTCTTCTCAGGCCTGAGCAGGAAAGCGCCAAGGGGCCCGTGCGTGCAGTGCGACGTCCCCTTTTTGTTGGCTTTGAAAAGAGTTGCTCCGAGCCAGAACCTCCTTGAAAGCTGCCCCAACCACCCCAGAGCCTATTTGGGTTGCTTGCCAGACTTCCAGTGGTGCCTTTTTGTTGGGTGTCCCTTGAAAATGTGGGAATGCGTGGTTGACGTGGTTGGATAAAGGTGGCTCGTCTTTGGAGTTGGTACCATTTTTTCTTCGTTTAAAATGGAAACCAAAAGGGAAACCAAAATCCACTTGGCAGGTTACCTACAAAAATGGACAAGTTGCCTTGTGTCGGTGCCTGTCAGCCTGCCCGCAGAGGCCGCAGTCGTTTGGTCGCATGCTGGTTCCCTCAACCCATGTCAGGCCATTAAAACCTGGATTCCATCTGTTTGACCACCTTCGAATAAACTTAAACCCAGGGATTCCCTTTTTGGGGTACATGATCGAATGCTGGGTTTACGTCGCTATGGGGGTAGTCAACAAGTGGACTCCTGGTTGGAATCCGAGCACGGTAACCTGATTGCAGATGGCAAACTTGTAAGTTTGAGTTTCTTTCAGTACTTTACTCAACATTTTGCACATTTGGGTTTGTGTTCAAATGGTTGAAAACGCCGCCACGCAAAGATGAGTGGTTTCCTTTTGGTCTCACCAGTGGTTTTCCCTTGGTTGCCCCTCAAAAAAGAGGCCCCAAGAAGCCATATTTCTCCGTTTATTGTTGGGGGGGTGATCTGGTTCCGCCACTGGACCCAGGGAGAAGCACCCCGTCCCATGACCTTCGTCAACAAGTCAGGTGGTTCACCAGCTGGCGCGTCTCATTGGGCTCCACTCCGAGAGCAGGCGGGGGCGGCGCCGTTGCCGGGATGCCGGGGTTTTGGGGTACCTTTGGGTGTGCGTGTTTTTTTTGTTCCCCACATCTTTGTGTGGGGTTCTTACTTGTACCGCTGCGCGCCCGACTCCCGCCGCCCCGTCGCTCTCACTCACTCACACACACTCACTCACACACACTCACACTGACTCACACACACTCAGTCACACACACTCACTCACTCACTCACACACACTCACTCACAAACACTCACTCACACACACTCACTCACACACACTCACTCACACACACTCACTCACACACACTCACTCACTCACACTCACTCACACTCACTCACACTCACTCACTCACTCACACACTCACTCACACACACTCCACTCACACACACACACTCACCACACACACTCACTCACTCACTCACACACACTCACTCACACACACTCACACACTCACTCACACACACTCACTCACACACACTCACGCACACACACTCACTCACACACACCCGCTCACACACACACTCACTCACTCACTCACTCACACACACTCACTCACACACACTCACTCACACACACTCACTCACACACACTCACTCACACACACTCACTCACACACACACACTGCGTTTGTGTGGCAGGGGCAGCATTTCGGTACTTCCTGCACCTGGGCTTGCGTTTGCGTGGCAGGGGCAGCGTTTGGGAGCTGTCTAAAGGGCTGGGATGTTCTGGCGCGCGCGGCTGTGGGCCCACATCTCGCGTAGCAGGCGCAGGACTTTGGAGATGCAAGTGCTGAAATCGTGGCAGGCGCAGTACTTCGTGGACCTGGGCTTGCGTTGGCGTGGCAGGGGCAGCGTTTGGGAGCTGTTTAAAGGGCTGGGGTGTTGTCGCGCGCGCGGCTGTGGGCTCCCATCTCGCGTGGCGGGCGCAGCACTTTGGACAGGCAAGTGCTGAAATCGTGGCAGGCGCAGTTCTTCGTGCACCTGGGCTTGCGTTTGTGTGCCAGCTGAAGTAAGGACTCCCTTACTCAGGGAGTCCTTACTTCAGGTTGGTGAATGGCGATAGTCATGAGTGCAGGAAGTTTACTTGGAGGGGTTTGCTTTCGACGTTCCCGTTTCTTCAGTGGCATTCTGTGGTTGGTTCGACCTGTTTACCGGTTGGTGTTCTATCAAACAAAGCAGCGTTTCTGACCATCCAACCATCCAACCATCCATCCATCCATCCATCCATCCATCCATCCATCCATCCATCCATCCATCCATCCATCCATTTGTCCATGCATTCAGTCAGTCAGCCAGCCAGCCAGCCAGTCATTGATTGTTGCGTTAATTCATTCATTCGGTCTTCGTTTGTTCGTTCATTCATCCATCCATCCATTCATTCCATTCCATTCCATTCCGTTCCGTTCCGTTCCATTCCGTTTCGTTTGTTCGTTCATTCATTCATTCATTCATTCATTCATTCATTCACTTATTCATTCATTCATTCATTCATTAATTCGTTCGTTCATTCATTCATTCATTGATTGTTTCATCGATTGACTATTTATTGCATTACGTTATTTCATTGTCCGCATATTATACACACATTTCATACACTCATATACATATGCACACGCATATTAACATACGTGCATACACATACAACCTCTCCCGGGGGGGGGGGGCATCACCTCAGTTAAGCTAACGTTGCACGTGCCTACAGTATGTCCGCAATTCAGCAACTTGTGCATACAAGTCAGCACACACATAGCTGCCCACATACACATGCACACAGACACACATGCACACACACACACATGCACATACATGCACCCCCGTGCACATACACGTACATGCCTACACATACACAGACACACAGACACACAGACACACAGACACACAGACATACAGACACACAGACACACACACACACACGTACACACGTCTAAACAAATGCACATGGACATACACCTACACATACATATACACGTACACATACATACTCAGAAATGTATATACACATACACCCGTAGCTAGATACACATGCATACATACATGCGCACATATCACACATAGACGCATACCGGCACACACACACACGAATGCACACACACATGCATGAAGTCATACCTCATGCATACGTCGAGACACATGCTTGCATATGCGTACCCATTTATGCATGCATTGTGAACACGCAAATAGATACGTGCAAGGCTGCTGACATACAGACGGAGGCACTCAGACCGACAAAGACAGACGGACAAACAGACAGAGAGCCAGCCAGACAGACAGACAAACAGACAGGCAAGGAGAACACACAACCATTCACAACCATGCATGCATTTATGCATGCAACTATGCATGCACACATCCACCAGTCCACACATGCATGCATGAGTACACGCATACACATGTATACATACATGTATCCTTGCATACATACACGCACGAATAGGTCAATATCCATGACAAAAACAACTTCATTTTATCACATGCTTTGCTATCAAGAATATTTAGGATGTGGGTGAGCGGTTTTTGAAATGAGTTCCACCTCAAATGTAGGGGACTGCGGTTGCGAGATGTAGGATGTAGGTGTTATGTGTTTCTGCTTTCGTGGCCAGGGGGTCGGTCTGTCTTTCTGGGCTTCTGTTGCACTGTTCCCCTTGCCGCAGGCTGTCACGTGAAATGCAAGATGCAGACAAAGCGGAGAAGGCTGACTGGATTTTTCGGGAGGAGATGTGGGACACCCGCGCCCATAGCCTGGATTTCATGTTCGGGGAAGCATTGGACGCATGTTATGCTCATCTTGTAATGCGGACTCCAATTGCAAACATGATTGGAGGGTTCTTCTTCGGGGGAAAGGGCCTTTCCTTATCGTTGGTTTTTGCTAGCAGGGGAGTAAGTTATAGCTTTCCGAAACGAAACAGTCTTCGAAAATCCGGGCCGGCACGCCGGGTGATTGATCTTGCTTGACTGGGGAGAAAGGCCTGCCTAGTTATGCATGGAAACGGCTGCAAGATGGGGTTCCATGCAGGTTTGCGTTGGGTAGCACGCACACCGAGGTGCGAAAATCGTAAGTAACGCTCGGTTGGGTCCGCACCACTAGACGCAGCTCTGCCCAGCACGCTCCATGGGGGAGACATGGTTTTGGAAGCAACCGGCGTACCTTTCGGGTCCACCTGTACGAGAAATGGTAGAGGCTTGACGCTGCTTGCTCTTGATCAAGTTTCATGCTTCGATTTGCAAGCTGGACAAACCGCTCAAGGGTTGCGTCCAATTGCTTAAACATATTGTTTATTTTCCCTTGTTGGCTTTAAAAGGACCTTTTCCCTATCACTACTGGACATTCTGTGTGATTTTTGAAGGGGGCGAAAAAGCAAATGGAAGGTTGTCATTGCTTGGGACATGTGCTTCCTTCTTTCGGCAGTTTGGCCCTTAGAACCCAAGAGCATCCATCCAACGCGACCCATCGCCAGGTCATGTCGCTTCGGCCACATCGGTCCTGTCGAACAGGAGGCGCTGTGTGCATGTTCGGGTCTTTGGGACTGTGTTTGTGTGTGTGTGTGTGCCTGTGCCATGGTAATGTTGACCCCTCAATACACCCACCAGTGCACCCACCAGTCCCCCCTTAAGAAGTCTTCTTTTTGTTGTTAGGGGTCATCATTAGTAAGACTTTCCTCAGTTTCGGGACTTCAACATATTTTGTTTGTCATGGTTTTGGCTGGAGTTGGAAGAACACAACTCAGAGACTAGTGTCGGCTGCAGCAACGAGACATATGCCAGCCTGGCCTCTCAATGGCATCCTCATGCGTCTTTGATGCCAACAGGTATTAGTTCTGTCCATTCTACCGAGCTCACCCGGGGGCTGTCGGGGAAAGCGAGCTAGGTCCTTTGCTAAGGGATCCCACAAATCTCAGGATTGTTGCCTTTTTGAAGTCGTACGCAGGGCTTTTATTCAGTGAGCCCGTCAGATCTACCGGGCCCAAAGACCTAGCAGGCAACATGATTTTCTGATCAAAAACATGTTGACAGCGGAAATGTGCACACCTGTACACAACCATCTCCTTGTTGCAGCACGAACGCATGCGGTGTGTGGTTGTGGTCGTGGTCGTGGTGATGGTTTTGTTTTGTGTTTGTGTTTTTGTTGGTGTGTGAGTGTGCTGGTGTCGTGTGTTGGTGCGCGCGCACACAAAGGCGTGTCTTCCGGAAATCCCAGAGTTGTCGGTTGGTTTTGATATTGGCATCCAGCTTGGCAGCCACTACCTGCGATGTGAGATGGAGCTTGAGGCACCTTCCTTTCTTTCGCGCGCAGGCATCTGGGCTGCGCCCTTCTCGGTGTCACAGGTGCTGAAAGCATGAGCCGAGGGAGAGAGTTGCCAAGGTGCACGCATCTCCCTCCTCAACTTCCAGCAGTGGTCTTTGTGCATGTTTTTTTTTTTTGTGAAGTGAAATCATTTGAGAATTGGAGGGGTTGTTACTAGGACTGCAGTTTAGGTGTGATTTTGAAGTCTGTGTTCTACCCAATATTTTCCGTTTCCTGTGGATGACTCTCACCAACGCAGGCTGTTCAGTCTCCGGCCGTTGCTTGTTTGCTTGTTGTGCCAATGATCGAAACGAAGGTATGGCTCCCCTCGGATTCCTACCAAAACTGGGGCACCACGCAACGAAGGGCGAAAGCAGGGCCATTTGTGTGTGCGTAACTTGTTTGTCCTTGTAGAGTAAACGGATGTGCTCCAGCTGCATCTCATCAAACTGCAAGGAACTTTTCTCCCTGACATTTCGACACGCGAATCTATTTGGCGGTCCCTTGGGGCACTTCGGCACTTTGATCTTGTGATCTTGCCAAGGATTTAGGGAGAGAGCGCTGCTGGAAGTGTCTGTATGTATTGCAGTTCGCTGGTTTGGCACCTTTTGAGCCTCTGACACACTGAAATGCTGTCTGCATGAGGCTCCAAAGGCGCTGCGGGCTGACCTTCAGTTCGAAGTCCTGCAGATACAGGGCTCCGAATTACCCGAGGCCTGAGTGCTACGGGGCCCTGTTCTAACCAGCCTGTGGCTGCAACTGCACGATCCGCCCGCATGCACCATTGATTTGCCGGAAGATTCGTGGCGCACATGGCGCAGGCGTCATTTCGCATGATGTAGCTGGCCAGGGTTCACGTCTGTCCTTGGCCCGCGCCAGAAGTTCTTTTTCTAGAGCGCCAGTTGCCACACGTCCGGGGCTTGTTCCCTGCGTCCGATTTTCCTGGACCCCCCGATCGATCTGGATGGCAGATCTCACGCTGTACAGCCTTGCGGCTGAGCGAGCGGTGCGCCAAGAGCCGGCAGAAGTCATCTATCTGCCCGACTTTTGGACACCGCGAGCTCACTGGGTGCACGTCGCCAAAACTGAGATGGGCCGGGGAAGGGTGTCTGGAAGAAGTAGCAGGTCTTGAGCTCTTTCAGTCAAACGAGGCAGCTGGATTTGCTGAGACACGTTGCAATCAACCTTTGTGGCCTTGCCTGACCAATGCATGCTGAAGCCCCAGCAGTTCTGTTGCTCACCATGGCGTTGGAGTTGTTTTGGGCCTTGCAAGTTTTTATCCAGGCCTCAAGTGGTGGTCCTGCCGGCTTTTTCTGTGCATCTTCATTTGTTAAACATTGAATGATTATAGTAACCTTACAGGTTGCGACAGATTTCTTGCTTGGGTCCCTCATGTGAGACTGATGAAGTGCTATGAGGCGCCGAGGTTGAACAGCTTGCTGACGTGTTGTGACAACATACATGCACTCGCAACCCACTTCGCCAGTTTCCCCCCCAGATAGCTGAACGCTACAGGTGTTCTAACTTCTAAAAAAGAGGGGAAGTGATTTCCGAGATTGATGGCTGGGTGCTGGGGGGCATGCAGTTTGGGGTTGTTTTGGGGTGCTGGTGCATGTGTTGTTTCGGGGTGCTGGTTGCGGTGCGGGCGCAATTTTGCGAGATTGACGGCAGGGTGCTACGAGGCATGCAGTTTGGGGTGCTGGAGGAGGTGCAGTTTTTTTGCTAGCTGGGGTCTATGCTGGTGATTTTTTTTTGTCGCGTTAGTACGCGCGCGTGTATACGAGCTTGCATGCAGGCTTCCATGACATCCAGAGTTCTTCATTGGGAGTGAACGACTTCGGAGAAGAGGCTATGCCGAGCAAGTGGAGACTTTGTCCTTGAGCCTAAGAACGTAGTTTTGTTTTTTCCCGGTTGGTTTGGTTGGACATAGATGAGCTCCTTTGGCCTAGATTGGTCTTATGCCCATTTGCCAGGGGAAATCCTTCTATTTTTTCCCCAAAAGGGTCACCTATGACTAAGAGTTGGTGAATTAAGGAGACCCTTTCAGAGGTGACCACTCCCAGGAGACCCTATTTACCAACTCTGACCCTGATCCCTATGACTGAAGGCCGTTTTGGGTTCAGAGTTGGTAAACCAAGATCCCTCGGCCTTTTCATGCTTCTTCCAAGGCTCTCACTTTCAGCTTTCGCTTGGCGCCGGCAGCCTTGGCTCACAGGCAAGACGTGAAGACGTAGAGGCAGTGAATGACCACATGTGGTCTGTCTTCGTTTGAGGGTATCCCTTTTTTTTCTGGTTTTGGAGGGAAACCAAAAGCAGAACCGCCATTTTGAGGGCTCTCAACCAAAAGGACAGACCCATGTGGCCAGCTGGAGAACACAATGTCCAGCTATCCTTCAAGTGCTGTTGGCCTCATCCAGAATCGGGACCTGCGGGAACATGGCGAATTCCACAAGCAAATTACATGTGCAGATCGACTACTGTATGCCTTTGCGGAGTTAGCCCCAAGAAGGACAGAACCTGGCCGCAAGCAACACATCGCATCAAGCAACGTGTCAGGTGGAAATTCAGTCTGGGCACCTGGAAGTTCTGACACGTCAAAACCCATCGACTCTCAAAAAGGCACCCGACCAGGCCACCTCGGCCAAATGGGGTCAGGTGGACACAGTGCACATCATGGTCCGCCGGGCGGCCGAATACGAACAAAGAATCAGGGGCTGAAACCAACTGGGAGCTTTCATCCAGGCATGACCACCATGTTGGTGTCAAAAAGCAAGCCACGACGTGGCATTTCACCGACATCTTGTCCGATCAGATAGCTAGACTTGTTCCAGCCTTGGCTCCTCGGGCTCGATTCGATTCGAGTCTGAGCAATGCTTCTCCGGCGTCTGGGCGCGAGGCGTCGATGGAGGGATTCGCTTTTGGCCGAAGTTTGGAAGGCCCCAAAAGGAGAGAGGGCGATGGGGGGCTGACACGGCTTGAAACCAATGGCGCCTTGGCCAAATCATACGATTTAGTATCAATTTATGATCAATGGAATGGAATTCAATTATTTTGGATGGGAAGACATGGCTTGAAACGACCAACGGCTTGTTCAGGACTGGGGGTAAACGTTTTGCTAAGGGCATGGAGTAATTCTGGTAAGGCGTTACCGATTGGACACAAGCGGCTGTTTCATGACCAGTGGGGCAAACCTTTCTTGCTCATGCCTGGGAGTAAGCCTGGTTTATTGGCGTTGGTGATGGTTAGGTTTGGTCAGGGGAGTGAGGGGACCCGTTTAGCGGGTTCTAAAAGCTGGATGTGGCCGGAAGGAACAAATTGGTCCCATCACCCAATAGTTGCTCCAGTGCCGGACCTGGCTTTCTGCTTTCCTACTGTTCCCTTCATTGTCGCCTTGGAACCAGCACAAACCAGACGTAGCGTAGCTTACGGTGTTCCGGGCATCCGACCAGTCCTGCAGGTGGCTCAGCAAGCCGCGAACTCCCTTTTGGTCGGTACTGGTACCTGATTGTGGGACATTGGATTCTAGGTCGCCACTTTCTGCGAAACCAAGCATTCGTCTCTGTTTCAGTGAGGCATCTGACGGACGGAAGAGGCGATTGTCCATACGGGTTGGCATTGTAAGGGACACCACACATGTTGGCGAACTTACTGAAGAACTTCTCATGTGGGAAACAGCACGGTGGCTCGAGGTGGGGCAGGGCTCCCTGTATGCCCTTTGTGGATGTGTCATGATGTGTCAGCACCTTCTCAGGCAGGCTGCAAACAGACAAGTAGGAAGGCCTGTAGCCCAAGAACGAGGTAGATTCTTTGGAAGCAAGTTCGATGAGGGCATGGTTGATCTATTGCAAAGAGCAGTGTTGGACACGCCCATGAGGAGCCTCAATGATTAGAATGAGGTGGTGGTGTACAAACCAAGTTTACGTCATAGGGCAGCCATGTCTGCATTTTTTGTTGCAGTGCCAAGCTCCTCGAAGCAACACATCAAACAGACTTGGGGCGGGTTCGGCATTGGGGGGTGAGGTGGGGTGGGGGTGGTGGGTGAGGGCTGGGGCAGGCGCTGGCCCTTGAACCGGGAGCTCCAGTGCCAAGGCTTCCGAGGCATTGGTCGGTGTTGGGGGTGGCTAATTTTGGGCGGGTGTTGTTTTCCTTGGGGAAACCACGGAGTTGTAGCGCTGAACATGGATGGCCTTCGCACATGCTGCGGCCTTCTTCGGAGGTGGTTCTAGACCCCCCCCGACCCCATTTTGTGTCCTTGGTTGGCAGGGTCCCTGAAAGGCCGGTGACAAAGTCAGTGCTGATTTAGAAGAGCCGAATCCAAGTACAGCTGGTGTTTGGATGTTTCCTTTAAGGACGCCTCGAATCGCCCCCCGTGGCTCAATCCGCACGGGTAAAGCGAGCTCAGGAATTTGGGTATATAAAGCGAGCTCAAGGGTCCCCCAGTATGGGGAAACAAAGCTGGAAAACTAGGTGCCCCAGCTAGGTGCCCTTTCTCACGCATTTTATTTTTGGGGAGGGTTCCCCTACTAAAATAAACTAAAGAAAAAAATTGGTACCCTTGTTCAAACCTCTCTACTCCAGAACCGAGAAGAAGCTGTGGGCCAAACGCCATGTTGCCCTCCTTTCAGCGGTGCCTGCAAATTTGAGCAGCAAGCTTTGTCAAAATACAGGATCAACGAAATTGCACCAACACGTGCTCATTTTTGTTTTTCTCGTTTTTATTAACCCCGGTACAACATTTTGGTCGGCCCCCTTGATTTTCGAGCCCCTATGTTTGGCTTGCCTGCCCGGTGTCCTTTTCGCCAGAATTTGCCTGGACCCACTCTGACGCCGTTCGCCAGGCAAATGCTCCGGGCCAGCCTTCAGGCCGCAGCTCTACAGGCGATCGGCGTTTTGTGGCTCGTCTTTTTTGGTGAATCGGAACCCCAATTTTTTGGTTTTTTGGGGGTAGACTTAGGATACAGTTTACATTTTACCAGTGACTCAAAGTGAAGCAAACAATAAAACATACATTCTATAACTGGGCCTAGCTCTAATCATGATAGGTTTTGGCTTTCCTGGTGGTTTCCCTTTAGCACTAGAAAAGGAGCTGCCCTCGAAGAACCAAACACATATAAGCCTTGTTAACAAAATCCAGTGGCCTCTTCAAAGGGAAGCCGACCGGTTCTTTAAAGCAAGGACGGGTAATTTGGAACGAGCTCATTCGGGGCTTAAACCGAGCTGAAGCATCTGAAGTCCGAGTAAACGCAGGGCTCCGATGTTTTCCGATTTGTGAATTGTAGTAACTCGCAGGGAGCAATCGGCACCCCAAATTGAGCAATTCAGTTTAGCGGCGCAAGACAAGCTTTCTTTTACAAGACAAGACAAGCTTTGGATATGTTTAGTATTGGTACCGTTGCTTGGCTTCATGAGGGTCGTAGTGCATCTTGTTTCGCTTGACAGTGGCCTTCCCAACAAAGCTTTTCCAGTGGCTTCCCAATAAAGCGTTTCCAGTGGTTTTCCTGTTGTTGTTGGTGTAAATCGGCGGTTGATCTCAGTATGCTTGCGTGGACACGTTTGGACTCAGATGGGAATCCCCCTGAATATCTTACACCCAAAGTTCCTGAAGGTGATACCTGAGAAGACCATGACCATGTTTCTCCATAAGGGGAGGGCACAAGGGGAGGGGGAGGGAGCCCAAATTAGCTCTTCTTAAGCCCTGGGCTCCCTCTCCCCAGTCCCCATGACGAGTTTTATCAGAATGTGAGATATGGCAGAAATGGCAGGTATGGCATCTTTCTCGGGGGTCATCTGGAGGTGGACCCCCTCGTGTGAAGTGGGGGGGTCTTTTAGGGCACCCTACCTGGGGCTGGTTTTCAAGGGAAGCCAAAAGGAGAGCCACCACTAGGCCGTCGGGCTTCGGCCGGCCCCCGGGCCCCGGCAAAAAATCGGCGGTGTCTTCACCGGATGTTTGCCAGTTGACGCGACTGGGTTTTTGCTCGAGCAGGGACTTGTTTTTTGGTGAACCGCGGATAGTCCCCACGAAAGGATCCCTGACAAGTGGACAAGTACGGAAGACATCTGAAGTTAGCTAGGTCCCCGAGTAGAGCCCTTCTCACCCCTTTTTTGGTTGGAAGGGTTCCCCTACTAAAATCGACTGCAGAAGAAAAAAAAGATCAAACAAAAACATCGGGTATTATCCTTATTCAAACCTCTCTACTGGGAGACCTAGTTAACATCAACTTGGTGCACGCATCCCTCATCCCTCGATGGATCTCTAGTCTGATCCGACCGCGCGAGGCCTTGGGGTGCGCGATGCTTCTGGGGCGGCCCTGATGCGCCCGGGCACCTAGGGCGAGACAACTCGACCTGCCTCTACTGCTATTGGGTTGGATCTTTAGACTTCAACTTTTTGGATTCCCCTCATATTTCCTTTTAACCAGCAAACAGTTAAACTTTTTGCCGGGGGATCTACAGCACCCAAGAGTCTAGGGGACTTTTTGGAGGTCCCAGGGGGCGGCGGGCTTCGCCTGCGCGCCTCAAGTGCGCAAATCAAACCAGTATTGAGTCTTCTTCAACGAGAGTGCAAGCACTTCTACCTTTTGGTGTGTAGCTCTATAGATGTCAGATTTTCCCAAGAGGAGTGTTCATGCGCGCGCCCTTCTATTGTTGTTGTGCTCAGTTGGGAACTCAGGACCATGGGTTTATTATTGCCAACATTCCCGGGACAAAATACTTTCAGAGCCACCGAAACACCACAGCCAACGGCCTTTTCGCCTGATTTGTTGCTGACAACTTAATTAGGTCGGGTTTAAAGCGGTTCGTAGCAGCTCATGAATGGCGTGATGTGAACATGCCATCAGTCATCAGTCTGCCATGGGCGCAACGCGAGGATCTTTGGTTTGCTTCTCCTTGTCTTTGCAAAGGGGGGCAACAGGCAGTGCTCTCGTTCCACGTCTTCTCCAATGCACACTTTCATCCATCCACCGTGTAGCAGACGATTAAACCCATCTGATACGTTCACGTTTGACTGAAGAGCACGTCTGATTGACACCCACACCCCCCTTATTAATAGATTTTGTTGGTCTATTCATCGGGGGTCAGCATTACAGTGCAGCTCGTTTTTCTAACCCGGTGCCTGACAGAGCGGCCAAATGCCATGGGTCGAATATGAGGGAAGCCAAGCAGGGGCGCAAAGGCTTAGCACTTCCAGCACCCAACGAGGATTGACACGCTTCTTACCGCCTTGCCCAAATCAGACCACCAGGCTTTCTCGCATTTTGCCAAGGGGATCTTAGGACTCTTTTAACTTTTGGCCAACTCATGGGGTTTTCCGTATGAAACCACTAAAAAATGTTAACTTACGGGTTTTCCGTATTAGCCTTGCCCAAATCAGACCACCAGACTTTCTTGCATTTTGCCTGGATGTTAGGAAGTTTAACTTTTAACTTTTTGGCCAACTAATACGGGTTTTCCGTATGAAACCACTAAACGTTGTCTAACTTCTCGGCAGGGGAGCAGAGTTCGCACCCGAGACGACGAGAAGCGAGGCAGCCGCCCGTGTCCCGCGGCCGCCGGAAGCAGATGGAGGATAGCAAGCAGACGGCGCGGGGGGGGCGGGCAAGCGGTGGCGGGGCTTTCGTGTCAGGGACCGGGGGCCCTTTGTTTGGTTTGTTTGATTGCTTGTTTGTTTGTATGTTTGTGTGTATTGTTTGTTTGTTTGTATGTTTGTGTGTTTTGTTTGTTTGTTTGTATGTTTGTGTGTTTTGTGTGTTTGTTTGTTTGTTTGTTTGTTTGTTTGTTTGTTTGTTTGTTTGTTTGTTTGTTTGTTTGTTTGTGTGTTTGTGTGTTTGTGTGTTTGTGTGTTTGTGTGTTTGTGTGTTTGTGTGTTCTTGTGTTTGTGTGTTTGTTTGTCTGTTTGTCTGTCTGTTGTCTGTTTACGTGTTTGTGTGTGTTTGTGTGTTTTGTTTGTTTGTTTGTATGTTTGTGTGTTTTGTTTGTATGTTTGTGTGTTTTGTTTGTTTGTTTGTTTGTATGTTTGTGTGTTTTGTTTGTTTGTTTGTTTGTTTGTATGTTTGTGTGTTTTGTTTGTATGTTTGTGTGTTTTGTTTGTTTGTTTGTATGTTTGTGTGTTTTGTTTGTATGTTTGTCTGTCTGTTGTTTGTATGTTTGTGTGTTTGTGTGTTTTGTTTGTATGTTTGTGTGTTTTGTTTGTTTGTTTGTATGTTTGTGTGTTTTGTTTGTTTGTTTGTGTGTTTTGTGTGTTTTGTTTGTATGTTTGTGTGTTTTGTGTGTTTGTTTGTTTGTTTGTTTGTTTGTTTGTTTGTGTGTTTGTGTGTTTTGTTTGTATGTTCGTGTGTTTTGTTTGTTTGTTTGTATGTTTGTGTGTTTTGTTTGTATGTTTGTGTGTTTGTGTGTTTTGTTTGTATGTTTGTGTGTTTTGTTTGTTTGTTTGTATGTTTGTGTGTTTTGTTTGTTTGTTTGTGTGTTTTGTGTGTTTTGTTTGTATGTTTGTGTGTTTTGTGTGTTTGTTTGTTTGTTTGTTTGTTTGTTTGTTTGTGTGTTTGTGTGTTTTGTTTGTATGTTCGTGTGTTTTGTTTGTTTGTTTGTATGTTTGTGTGTTTTGTTTGTATGTTTGTGTGTTTGTGTGTTTTGTTTGTATGTTTGTGTGTTTTGTTTGTTTGTTTGTATGTTTGTGTGTTTTGTTTGTTTGTTTGTGTCTTTTGTGTGTTTTGTTTGTATGTTTGTGTGTTTTGTGTGTTTGTTTGTTTGTTTGTTTGTTTGTTTGTTTGTTTGTTTGTTTGTTTGTTTGTTTGTTTGTGTGTTTGTGTGTTTTGTTTGTATGTGTGTGTGTGTGTTTTGTTTGTTTGTTTGTATGTTTGTGTGTTTTGTTTGTATGTTTGTGTGTTTGTGTGTTTTGTTTGTATGTTTGCGTGTTTTGTTTGTATGTTTGTGTGTTTTGTTTGTTTGTTTGTATGTTTGTGTGTTTTGTTTGTTTGTTTGTGTGTTTGTGTGTTTGTTTGTTTGTTTGTCTGTCTGTTGTTTGATTGCTTGTTTGTTTGTGTGTGTTTGTGTGTTTTGTTTGTTTGTTTGTATGTTTGTGTTTTGTTTGTATGTTTGTGTGTTTTGTTTGTTTGTTTGTATGTTTGTGTGTTTTGTTTGTATGTTTGTGTGTTTGTGTGTTTTGTTTGTATGTGTGTGTGTTTTGTTTGTATGTTTGCGTTTTTTGTTTGTTTGTTTGTATGTTTGTGTGTTTTGTTTGTTTGTTTGTGTGTTTTGTTTGTTTGTTTGTATGTTTGTGTGTTTTGTGTGTTTGTTTGTTTGTTTGTTTGTTTGTTTGTGTGTTTGTGTGTTTGTGTGTTTGTGTGTTTGTGTGTTTGTGTGTTTGTGTGTTTGTGTGTTTGTGTGTTCTTGTGTTTGTGTGTTTGTTTGTCTGTTTGTCTGTCTGTTGTCTGTTTACGTGTTTGTGTGTGTTTGTGTGTTTTGTTTGTTTGTTTGTATGTTTGTGTGTTTTGTTTGTATTTTGTGTGTTTTGTTTGTTTGTTTGTTTGTTTGTTTGTTTGTTTGTTTGTTTGTTTGTGTGTTTTGTTTGTGCGTTTGTGTGTTTGTTTTTGTTGTTTGTTTGTTGTTTGTGTGTTTGTTTGTTTGTTTGTTTGTTTGTTTGTTTGTTTGTTTGTTTGTTTGTTTGTTTGTTTGTTTGTTTGTGTTTTGTGTGTTTGTTTGTTTGTTTGTTTGTTTGTTTGTTTGTTTGTTTGTTTGTTTGTTTGTTTGTTTGTTTGTTTGTTTGTTTGTGTGTTTGTGTGTTTGTGTGTTTGTGTGTTTGTGTGTTTGTGTGTTTGTGTGTTTGTTTGTCTGTTTGTCTGTCTGTTGTCTGTTTACGTGTTTGTGTGTGTTTGTGTGTTTGTTTGTTCCTTTAATGATTTAGTTGTTTCTTTGTTTGTTGTATTGCTTGTTTTTGGGAAAGCCAACGGGCTAAAGGGAAGACCAAAGAGAAACCACCCATTTTGGGCTTCCCCATGTGTTCTTTGAGGCAAGGTAGCCGTTGCTTGGTTTGACGGGAAACCAAAAGGAAGGCTGCATGTAGGGAAAATAGATACCAACATTTGACCCACTAGGGTAAATGTGGGTAAATATGGATATGGGTGTGGGTCAAAATTAAACAGGAGGCAAACCGCAGGTTTTGGTCCATGTTTCCACTTACCAGGGTTCCATTTTGGTACCGGTTTTTGAGCCACAGCCATATTGCATACATAGACGGATTGTGTGGGATGAATCGTGGGAATCTCCGTACTTAAGCCAAAAGCTGGGGGGGTCATACCAGGGGTTCATACAAGGGCGTGTACATTCGTTCTTTCAAAATGATACCAAGTTGACTAAGCTACACGCCTAGGTTCAATCTGAAACCAAGAGGATATGTTGAACGCTTAAGAAAAAGTTCTCTCCCAAAGAAACATGCCGATGTATACTGCTCCTTTTCTGAAATTACCCCTGATATTCGAATGGTATCTCTTGAACCTGCTTGTCGAGGACCATTGGCAGGCCTTTGTTAGAAGCTTTTCTGGACCTGGGAGAGGCTTCAGAGCCCTTTGCAGTTGGGCGACAACACACAATTGCCAACCATGGCTTATCCCTCCCTCCAATCATAGAAGCTGCGAAATCGGAGGGTTCTGGAAGAGGATCTTTTTCTTTTGGGCAACCAAAGCCTTTGTTCACTTCTGTTGGAAAGAGGGTAGTCATTCCTTGTTAGTTTTTTCCTTTGGCTTGGTGTTCTAGCTTTGGTTTTGATTTGTCCACTTCCATGATTCATGGAAAGAGGGTCTGGGAGACTGGGCTTGCGTGCCCTCCGGGCGATAGCAATCAAGAATGCCAAACATGGCTTAGTCATCCCGTTTGCCTTGGGCTTGCTCAACTTGGTGGCAAGCCCAGCCATCCGGTTCCTCAGTTGTTTTTTTCTGTTTTTTTTTTTTTTGTTCTCTCTCGGTTGGATATCCATTTCGCCAACCAAAAGTTGGTCACTTTCGCGGGGGATTCGAGGACAGCACGGCAACCCCCGGACCCCTGATGTCCTGGTGGCAGGAGCCTCCAATCCCATTGTGCCCTGGTTCGCCGGTCAGATGTACTCGGAGGCAGCAACATACTGAACATAACCTTGATCATGAATTCCCAAAGCAAAAATCAGCACATACTGACAGCAATTAGCCCAATGTTTAAACATAAGGAAAACATGACCGGGCCTTTAACACGTTGTTTAAGGCTCTCCTTTGTAGCTCGATCTTTCAACGGGGACACCACGCTCCCCGCTTCAGCTTCAAAGCAGAAGGCCTGGTGGTACGGCGCCGCGGCGATGTCCATCTTTGCCTTCGTCTTTGCGCTGGTGCCGCCCCTCGATCTTGGATCGATCCGTTTGACGGACGGCGCGATTTTTTTTTGGCGTGTTTGCCGCTTTTTTGGTAGGTTGCAACGATGGTGGAATAACTGGTGGGGCATTGGTTGGTTGGTTAGATCCCTTATTCTTGCTATAGTGCTGAAGTAGGTGGGTGGCTCGTCTTTTTTAAGGTTGGGCCCCTCCAAAACTGGTGTTTTGTCCTTTTGGTTTCCTTTTAAAGCCCATTTAGAACGGGCACTCCCAATACGACAGACCCGGGTTGCAACGATGGAACGAGCACTAGTTAAGTGTCAGAAAGAGCTATGGTGCAATCAATAGCCTGTCCAAGTGCGTTAACTGGTTGATCAGTTCCCTTGTGCCTATATGGTGAATTTATGAGTGGGTTGAATGTGCGAGTGAGGTGGGTTTCCCACTCACACCTCTGGTGATTTCACGGTGGTTATACATGGGGTAAGTGGGGGTTTCCTAGATGTCCCACAGATCCTAATGTCAGGCTGCCCTTTGTTGGCGCGGAGCTGAACCCCAAGCTCTTGAAGCTTGGGAAGTCACCCAAGCCCTAAGCCATGAATGCAAGCAACCAATGTGGGCTGAGATTCTAGGCAAACCACAGGTCCCTGGTACGTTGCGAGTTTGACGTGGCAAAACAGAACGCGGGATGCTTTGTTTTCATTCCAGTTGTCTTGCTTGCCTGGCCTTGCTTGGTCCTGCTTGCTTGTTTGGCTTTGGTTGCTTGATTGTTTTTTTTGCCTTGCTTGCTTGCTCGCTTGGGAGTGTCTAACTTGTTCCCTACTTGAATACTTGCAATTTGTTCTGACGCAGAGTTGTGCGCCTAGACGGGTGCTACCCACCAACCTTCCGCATAGGTTGCCAAAGTTCTAGGAGACACTTCCCCTTTTTTTGCAGGGTTCCTTCTTTTCAGAAAACCATCAGACCCCCAGGGGAAACATGAAAAGAATGGTTGGAATCAACCCCTAGAAAAGCTATCGAACCTTCTCGAACTTGAATTTCCCTCATGCCGACCCATCTGACCTTCTGGCAGTGCTTTGCGTGTGTTACCTGAGGCTCTACAAGATCTACTGCCAAGCAACTGGTCAGGGCCAGGCGGGACAACCAGCGACATGCAGCTTTTCTGGCAGTGACGGGTCAGGTTTGCCGGGTACGTCTGTTTTTTCTGGACCCCCCCCCAAAGTGATGGTGCTCCGTTTGGTTTTCCATTTAACACCATCCCGACCATCCCAAACAAGCGTCCCTAACAAAAAGACACACCCATCGCAATGTTGCCAATTTTACCTATAGTATTTAACATCACATGTGCCGATTCGCAGCGAGGGTATTCCCACTGAACTTAGGACGACGGCGTTCATTTTTTGGGGGTCTAAGACAAACTTGGCCGCTCCAATTGGCGAAAGCATAGCAGGGCGTCTATTAACTGGCATCCTTGAGGGTATACCGGTATACCTACTAAATCTGTGATGTCACACTGTGGGCGACATGTAACACGGGATGCGTCGCCCTTTGAATTTGTCCCCCGGTGACCACCCATTTTGGTGGTGCAACGGGGTTTCTTACCCGATCCCCAGTGTCGCCGTTTGCCGACCGGGCACCTAGCAGCCCGGCGGCGGCGCGATGCGAAGCGAGGAGCAAGAAAGCATTTGGGGGGAGGTTCATTGCCTGGGGTGTGTCAGAACGGGGGGGGGGGGGGAATACAGTGGTTTGCCTTTTTTGTTTCCCGTTGGACCAGCCCCAAAAAGGGTACCCTCAAAAAATACCGTAAGTGGGACAGGGTGCCTTTTTCAAACAGAGCAAGGAGTAGTGGCACCTGTTTGCTGTGTTTTGGAGGAGGCTTCCCTTTAAAGTCAACTTTTTCAACAGTGGGGGCCTTTTCCCAATTTGGGCTACTTGCGCCCCAACGACCGATCAGCCGACGCCAGGCTTCGCAGATCGGTCACAAAGAGTACGCGCCGCCGCCCCCTTCGGACCGCAGAGTCGCTGGGTTTTTTCAGGCCACGTGTGCAAGAGACAAGTCAGCGGTCCTTACGTATGGGCATGTCTTTTTTTTTAGGGGACCACTCAGAATGGTGGCTTTCCGTTGGGTTTCCCTTTAAAACCACAAAAAAAGGGGGACCCTCAAAAAAAGACAGACCCATATCCCTTATTATTGGGCGATTTGCGCCTGATATTGCCCTCTCCTTTCCAACACTCATTACAAGCTGGTTGTTTCTTCTGGGTAACTCAATTACATGTGGTTGAATGATAGTTTAAATAGGAGTTCATTTCCACGTATCTAGGATGTTGATTAGATTTAAATTATGATTGAAATAGATTTCTTACACTGAATTGGATGCTTAAGAGGAATTAATTCGAGCTTTCATTGCGCAATGGCAATGGTTTTGAACTATGAATTCCTTTGCAAGTTCAATTGGAAATGAAGTACAATATAATATGGAAAGACAAACAAACCCGAGAACATAATTAGACCCATCATAGACACAGAAACCAAACAACCTCGAGAAAACCAGACAACACAAACAAAACCACCTTGAGGAAAAAACAACTTGAGAACATAAGAAAGCAAAAACCACCGAGAAAACGGGGGGGGGGGGGAACATGTTTCCATCACTTTTTCAACATGGGTTTTTCAGCCAAGAGCTTGTAAACATGTTTAATTTTGTGCTTACTATTTTTTCTTGAGGTTTCCTTGTGTTTTTCTTCTTTTTTTTCTTCTCTAGATGGTTCTTTTGTATTTGTTAGATCAAATGCAACTGATATGGCTGACCCATGGCTGACCCATGCGAAGACGGGAAGCCTCAATAAAAGCGCAAACAACCACCAGGGTCGACTGCATTTGTTTAAAGCCCCGAAAATGTGGGTTTCCCATGGGGCTTGCTTTTGAAACCACAAACCAGGGGTAGCCTCTAAAACCGTCATGATGGCAAGCAGAAGCCCGGGCCAGCAGCGCCGGAGATTCTTGAGGCAAGAGGACCCTCCTCAGGAGGAGGCAGACAAGCCGCCGCCGACTGCGAAGGCGCGCCGCCGGCCTGCGACAGAGGGTCGCGGCCCGACTGGCACCCCGTTCCGGAGCTACGCTGCGACGCTGCGCCGGGAGCAGGCTCGTTGGCCTTTCCAGGGAGCCAAGACTGGTGTGGCCCATGTCGCGGTCCACGCGACCGAGCTGCAAAGCATTCTGAGTGACGGCCTGAACCAATCCACAAAAAGGAATCTTCGGACATCAGGAAAGGCGCACTGAGACAGCTACCACAGTGGATATCTTACTCCCCTCCCCCCCTCCCCCGCTCCCCCCCTCCCCCCTACGCTTATTTAGTGGGTATTTTGTTTGTTACTTTTTGTTCTCTCCCCCCCCGTTTCGTTGCGCCCCGTCCGCGTGCTCGACTTCTCGAGTTCTCGTGTCGCAGGAGTCGGTGGACGGCAAGCGGCTCATCACGGTGGACTTCGCCGCCACCGCCGGAGCCCCAGAGCTTCGATGAAGCCCCCTCAGGGCCCTCCGGCGCAGAAGTCCCTGGCTTTCTTTTAGGTGTCCCTTCTGTTTTTTCCTTCTTCTTTTTTTTGGGGGGGGGTGGTCAAAATCAACCAGCCAGTTGGGTGATTTTTGTTTCTGGGGTAGACTTAGGATACATTTTACCATTTTACCAGTGACTCAAAGTGAAGCAAACAATAAAATGTACATTCTATAACTGGGCCTAACTCTAATCATGTTCTAGGTGTGGCTCTTTTTTTTGAGGGCGCCTTGTAGATTTTGAGGGAAACGACGGGGAAAACCACAGTTTTTGGGGGTCCAATTTAAGACACACCTGTGGCGGCTTCTCAAAAAGGAATGGGAGCCCTTGGACGGGTAAAGGGAAACCAGAAGGAAACCCCTTACCTGGAGAATGTCACCAATTTCGAAAGACACACATGTGAGTCACGTCCTCAAAACCCGATAAATTGGACAGTCCCAGTCCCAGCCATGAATAGGTGCAGATATCCGCCTTGTAATTGTCTTACGTGGTTCAGAACTTCACTACCGGATTTTGAGTATGACGCATGTGGGTTGGTGTTTTTGTCGAGGTTAGTACCGCTTCTTGGTGGTTTTAAAACGGGAAACCAAAAGGGCATCAACCGTTTTGTGGGTCCCCTTAAAAAAGACAACCATTTTCGTAAGAATATCAGTCTGTCTTTGTTTGAGGGTGCCCCATTGCTGATGGGTTTTGAAGGGAGACCAAAGCGAACCTCAAATTGGTGTTATTGTCCCCTGTTGTGTTCTGTCCTTTTTTTCCAGGAGACCCTTCAGCAAATGGAGGTTGCTTGGGGATGATCCGTATGTCAAGTTCTGGATTTATAGTAGAATCGCAGTTCTGTAGGTCTGGGATAGAAACCAATTAAGCAGGAGCAAGCAGTTTCAGGAAGGAAAGGCGACGTTGTCTTCTATTTGCTTAAGAATACGTGTTATTTTATCCTGCTGGTTTGAAAAATAACCTATGTTCTCCAGGGGGGAGCACATGGAGGTTTAAATGGGTCGCTTGGGTTAATCTAAGCCACTGGGACAAAGACTGAGCTTCCATGGGGCTTGGACGAGGTTTTGACACTCCAAAGGCTCCTCGCAGGGTGGATCCGAAGAGTGGATCCAAGTGGGTCATTTGCCGTCAAGTTGGTCCCTTGTTAAGGGCTCCATGATCTGGAGTGCTCCTAAAAAGACACCCATCTGCAGGCATGGTGGGAGATGGGATTTAGGATGGCCAGCTGGAATGGCTTGGAGCAGCCTTTGCCTTGGATGCTCTTCGGGGAGGCATCCCGAACTGTCTTCTGGAAGACCAGCTCGTGGGTTGTGACTAGAGAAGCAAACTGAAACCGGCTAGGCTACATCTATGAGACAAGGATTGTTGAACCAGCACTAATCCAATTATGTTGGTCTCTTGCCTGCAAAGATTGTATTTAATGCACACAAGTAGCGCCAAGGCGAACAAAGGCCATCAAGGTTCACGTATTTCCGTTTTCTGGAGCTTTTAATGTCGCTGGTTGGGCCAATGTGCATGTGTGCAAAGAGGGTGTACGGGTCTTTCACCGGACCCAAAAAGTGTACCAACTCCAAAAAATGAGGTGTTTGACCACAAAACAAGAACAGTTCTACCCTCACCCCGTCGTTCTTTTCCGGGGCCATTGTTTTTTTTCTTTTTTTTCTTCTTCTTGTTTTTCCGCGGAGAGGTCCACACCTCCTTGCCCTGGGAGTTTGTGCCCCAGCAGCGCCGCGTGGTCGTCGGCCTCGGGGAGCGGCTCGAACACGCGAAAACGCTCGATCGAGCCGCGGGCGTTTGGTTGGACGGCTGGGATCGGGTCACGGTGATGGGTGTCCATTTCATAGCCAGCCACGGTGGGTGTCTTTTGTTTAGCTTAGTTTGGGTAGAAATAGCTTGTTTGTTTTGCTTCGTTTGTGAAAGAAATTGATGGGGTCCACCGGTTTAGAATGGTTTTATGCCCTCCATTTTCCAGAGAAGCCCGAATCTATTTTACCAAAAGGACACCTGCGGTCCCAAGTGGGCGAACCTTTACAGAAACACGCCATGTCCCCTTAAGGTGTGTGTGTGTGTGGAGGCATTCCAGGCGCTAGCAACAATGAGAGGCTGGCGCAACCCAAGAGTCAGGGCAGGTATGGCTCAAGCAGAGGTAGGACTATGAAGCAGCAGCTTCAGAGATATGTCGGTTTCCCGTTTTGTTTTTTTGAGATCAGTGATTTCCAAGATTTGCAGCAGCAGAGTCTTCATTGCGATTTTCAGTTTGATTTTTCCCCTTGGTTGGATTTAAAGGGAACCTATCACTACTGGGAACCTATCACTACTGGACATAGTTTTGTTTTTTCTCCAGTTGGCTTAAGCAAATGGAGGGGGCCTCAAGGATAAGATGCAACCGATGGTAATCTGAGAATGACTGAACAGGCGGGTTGGACCACCTGGTGCTGTGGCTCGATTTTCCAATGGAGCCCAGATCGTTCAAGATGATCTAATCATCCGATGGTTTGAGAATCAATGGTCTAAGCATCCAGTCGTCTACTATCGTGCACATGTAGGGAGTTGGCATGTGGCCTCGTGGCCTCACACCACCTGCGTCAGTTTCCGCTTCGCCGTGCGTTTTAGATGAGCAATTGACGCAACTCGGCCTACCTCTGCGCAAAATTGGCTCGATTTGCGGTTTCCCTTGCAAGCCCCCAAAGATGGGTTGGAGACATGTGTGTTTTGATCTTGAAGAAACAAACACTGACTTTGATGGCCCTATGATGGCCCTTGCAGATGTTAGTGTACATGGCCATACTGTATATTGTACAAATATGTGTGTGTGTGCGCATATATTGCATGTTCAACTTCACACATCCATGTACACAGAATATAAATACATGTATATATATATATATATATTATAGTGTATACATTCTCTCTATATAATGTGTATGTCGTATACGTGTAAACACCATCTTACATCATTCCAGGAGACCGCCCTGGCCTTCTACCGTGCCAGGCGCGGCACCCAACATGGATTGCTTTTGAGTCGGGCAGAACCGACTAGCCGCCCCGGAACCTGTTTGACTCATTCATGAACCAAGGGGGCGGGGGCCTTTGGGTGATATAGGTAGGTCGATTTCCCTGGATAAGCCCAGGTCCTATGGTTGTCAGGGGGCCCCAAAGAGGGGACACATTAGAAATGGTCACCAAGAGGAACCCTCTCAGCTCCTAATAATTTAATAGACTTAGACCCTATGAGTCACGAGAAAGCGCTATTGGGATTGGGGAATCGGCCCTTGACAAGCTATGGGGTCAATAGGCCCAGATAGGCTCTGGCGTTTGGAGCGATTCCAGGCTAGGGTTTTGTAAGGGTGTTGAGACATGCTCTTTGGTATACCACCTGGGCCTTTTTTTTGGGGGGGGGCGGAGCCTCCGTTTAAACCTTGTTGGAATGAGATTGCACTAGGCAAGGCCTGGCCAAAGAAAGGATCCATTTGAATACGAAAACTCGACTTCAGTTTCCATTCGGCCACTGATTTCCGACGCGGGTCCTTATGTCTTCCTTTTTGGGAGGTTACACATCACACTACAACAGGGGACATTTGAGCGATGGACATTGCCGCGCTTTTGGTTTTGGGTGGTCCCCTGTCGGTTTGCCGGTGCGATATCGGTTTTGCAGGTTGACGGGTATCGCCGGCATCCCTTTTTTGGTCGCCCCCGCTCGGTTTCGGTATTCGTCAAATTATGCGGAACTCGGTCGCACAGGAACAACAGCGACCGCCCCATCATCGGGGTGTCCGTCTACCACATGATCCCTGCGGAGGCTTCAATCGTGAGTGTTGCGTCGGAGCTCACTGTTGGGCGCGTGGGGCTTGTTGCCCCGTGCCTTCCCGGGGTGTCCAGCAGAATCAAAGGTTTATTAACCAGGCTCCCGCCTGCTGCCGCCGACCCTCGGCGCATTAAGGGAAAAGTCACAAGGACCGGTCCTGAAACACGTCCGCAAACCCAGGGACCACTTATAAGATCCTCTACGACCACAAACAAGGATGAACGGAAAAGTCAGAAATAGGGCAGCTAGTCCGTTAATTACCGCTTGGGCCGGCCTGCGCCCAAGTCACTTCGAGTTGGCGCCGCTCCCGGGGTCGCCCTGAAACTGGCCCTCCCGAAGTTGCCCTGGACCGGTCGCCGGCAGGGACCGGTCCCAGTCTGGCGCGGTTTGACTCGACGTATTGGACTCTCTTGCAGAATAGATCCAGGGATCCTCTACTACCACAAGGATTAGCGGAAAAGTCAGACAGATGACAGCTCGTCCGTCAATAACCGCACGGGCCGGTTTGTGCCGAAGTCACGTTGAGCTGGTCCTAGAAACAAGGCTGTTGGTCCCCCTCAACTGGTCGCAGTCAGTGACGACCTGGGACCCTGTCCAGTGTCCTGGGTGCCAGTCCGGAAAGTTTTCTGGAGCTTTTTGAAGTACCAGCAGTCACACCAGGACTCAATGGGACCGGCTTCCCAGGACTGGTCCCAGGACCGGTCCTGGGACCGGTTTTAGGACCAGTCCCAGGACCGGTCTGGGACTGGTCCTGTCCTGGTTCAGGACCAAACCCCGGTCCTGGGGCCTGGCCAGTTTCAGGACTGGTCCCAGGACTGGTCCCAGGACCGGTCCTGGGACCGGCCCTGGGACCGCCGTTTGGCTGACTACAAGTAAACTGAAACAGCAGAACCAGGGTCCCAGGGACCAGTCCCAGGACCGGTCCCAGGACTGGTCCCAGTACTGGTCCCAGGACTGGTCCCAGGACTGGTGTTGGGACCGGTCCCGGGACCGGTCCCACAACCAGTCCTGGAAATCAGGGACTATCATTGATTCCAATCACTTCCAGTTGCATCCCACGCCGGTCCCCTCTGCAGGAGGCTGGGACGGGAGGCAGAGGGTCGGCGGATTACACCCTTACCTCTTAAAAGCACCACTTTGCAACTTGCTGGGGGTAACATTGGCTTTCTGTATGTAAAAGGTTAACTTCCCCAATCCTTGGAGTTTTAAGGCTTATCATAGCCCAAAACCACACCCCTCAAGGAAAGCCCTGGGGAACCGAAATCCTGAAAAAATTACCCCATAGCCCGCACTGACTGCAACGATTCGAGCAATGATTCTGACAGCCCTTGCCACAATGACGAGTTTGGCCTGACACGTTCTTGAACGACCTGTGACTGCCCTTAGTATTGAAACACCTTGTTTTCGTGGCCGTCTCTCTAGATGAAATTGCGTGCGCCAGTCTGTTTGCGACCATGGGGATCATCATCCCTGCATTGCCCAGCAGAGGAAGAACAGAAAACGTAAAACTTCGAGCAGTTGGCGCTAGTTAGAATGTCATGCTCATTGTATCCAGCAAACAATTTGCGTTTCTACTTCTCAGAAAAATGAAAAATGTTGAATTTGGACATGTTTGACAGATGGCCAATTTGTTTTTTTGATTTGTGTTCTTCTGCCATAAAGCTCCAAAGGGGGGGGAGGGTTGACGTTTTGACGGTGCCACGGAGGATCGTCCTCCCCCCCAAGGGCCCTGTGCTCCTCCCCACTTCGCGCGAGTTGAGCCCATCAGGCCGGGCTCTACTTCAACAAGCCCCTCGGCGCGGTGAGACATGGCGCCGGTTTTTTGTTGGACTCTTGCGAAGGGGCGGGGTTTAAAGGGCCAAAGGAGAACCACATCGTTTTACTCTCGTTTGTTTTGGGGCGGGAGTGGGGGGGTTGGGGGGGGTCCTAAAGAAAGACAAACCCAAAGCCATAGGTGTCCTTTTTGGTTGTTTTGGTAGAAAAATAGATGGGTTTCCCTGGTTTACCTGGTGGTTTAATCATCTACCAGGGCCATCTATTTACCCTAAAAGGACACCTATGCCCAAAGCCTATTCCTCGTTTTTCCCAGCTGAAGGCTTGGGATTGCCCAAATCTTCATTGGTGGTTTGGGGCAGCTTTCAGGAAGTGGAAGGGTTCCGGAAGTTCGGGGCTGTTGGGGATACCACCTGTGTTGTTTTTCTTTTTCGGGGGGGGGGGGGAGATTCCGAAACCTAGTTAGTTGTACAGAAACTTGCTGGGGGTGCAGCTGGGAACGTGCCCCAGTTTTATAATATTTTCCTGAAGTGGGAACGGCATCTGGGCTGAAAAAAATACCCCGCGCCTTTTCGTTATGTAAGGGGCCGTCCCTTAACTTGTTTCGCAGGCCAAAACCATTGTAAACCGACACAGAGGAAAAAAACCGATACCCCCAGAAGCCATGAAGGCACACATCAGGTCCTAGTTGTTGTCGCAAACCAAGATTGCGGAATCATAAATTTGCAGGGCCCAAACCGATACCCAAACCGATACCCAACCGATACCCAACTCATTGGCCGCCATGCCGAATCCAACCAGCTGCCCTGCAGCCTTCTCTGGAGCTGCCAACATGTACTTTGTGTACTACATTTGTACTGAAAAGTTGCGACTGCCGCTGTGGAGCTGCCAAAATGTACTTCGTATACTACACCATACTACACTTGCTTGCACTGAAAAGCTGCGACTTTCGAGCCGGAGCTGCCAAAGTGTCCTGCGCATACTACTGAAAAGTTGCTACTTTCCAGCTGGAGCTGCCAAAATGTACTTTGTGTACTACACTTGTACTGAAAGTTGCGATTTCCAGCTGGGGCTGGGAGCTGGCAGAGTGTACTTCGCATACTACACTTGTACGGAAAAGTCGCGACTTTCGAGCCAGAGCTGCCAAAACACTGCAAACCGATGCAGAGGAAAAAAAACCGATACTGACCGATACTGAGGCATAAGGATACAAGGGTTGTCCACGGTTTTTTTTTTTCAACCCATCTGTTTTAGAAAGTTGATGCTTTGAGTTTGCCACGGTGTGGGAGTGACCCAAGGCAATTCCATGTGAACGTGTTGAAGTGATGAAGCAGTCATAGGGATGCGAAACAACCGCTATGGCATCAGAGAAAGGATCGTTTTCCACAACCATGCAAAAGAAGACGGAACATGCAGAGATAGGCCAACGTGTCAAGGAAAGGATCGCATGTTGTGTCCGTTTGACTTGTCGACTGTTGATGACTGACGAGGCGTGGCGAGGCAGTCCGGCTTTTTCTCCTGTGTTCCTTCCAAAACTTCCAACCAGGCATCGAGGTAATGCGAATGGGCTCGTTGGTTTGGCAAGGAAGTTCTCAAGGGAACAGACGTCTAGCAACTGAGTTTTCAGATGGCCACTCTGTTGGCATGCTTGCTGACTTTGGATCATCCGAAGGGCTCATGTGCAGAAGTGGCGTCCTACCGTGGATAGGCAAAATCCATTTCGCACCACCTAAGAAACCGTGGAATGATGATTCCCTGGCAAGGCCGACAAAGAACGGCCTTCCATGGTTTAAAAGTGGTGCAGGTAGGAACCTTTAGTCTCAAAGAAAAACCTTCTGCAACAAGAAAGACAGCCTGTGAAAATCGTCCAGCGTGCTCTCGCCGGGAATTTTTGATTCTAGCCCACCTAGTGGCAGCCACCGAAAGTTCGTCCGAATGGAGCCCTTTGAAAGGCAGCATAGCAACTAGCAACGCAAAAGCGAAACACGGCGGGCCCGGAGTTTTGCCAACCCCTAAGTGAACCATGATGTCGATGATGGTGCGACAGGAGCGTCCTTTTAAGGAGACACCCTATCGGAGCAAGCATACATGATGCGCCCGCCACAAGTGGTCGTGCTTCTTCTTGTGGCATGCCAAATTCCTCCAAAGGTGGCGAGGTTACCTCAAACCACTTTTGGGGAAATTGTGTTGATTTGATGATCAGCAAGTCTGGACCTTGCGGCGAGTCAGAGTCAGATCTGCGAATCCAACCACTCAGCTCCTCCGCTCCTTGCGCGCGATCGAGCGATCCGGAGGATCCAATGCTTTTGCTTTGACGAGCAGCTGATCAATCCAGGCCTGCGGGGCTTGCCTTGACCGCTAGGAGCTGTGTGACCATAGCATGCTTGAGGTGTGTTCCAGGACTTTCGTGTGAGATACTGTGGATGGACGAAATCCGCTTAGGCACCACCTAAGAAACCCAACGGAATGATATGATTCTCCTGTATATAAATGCCAACAAATTATAGTTTCCCATGGGTTCAAAGTGGTGCGAAATGGATTTCGTCCATCCACAGCAGTGCCTATCGCAATGATTGCTCAAGAAACTCATCCAAGCTAGGCCACACGCGAGCTTTTTCCCTCTCAGCTTCAACCTTGGTCAGCTTGCACATTAGATCGAAAAGGGCTTTCCTTTTTGGGAGGTATCAGGCCGGAGTCAATGGCCTAGGCACCAAAGACCCAACAACACATGTTGCTTGCTTTTCTTGCTGGTGCGATCTCAGGGAATGAGGGAATGGAATGAACCCGGGCTCAGGGGTCCCCTGGGAAACCACCTCTTTTTTTTAAAAAAAATAGGGGTCATTCCATAGCTCTCATTCCCTGGGCACCAGCAAGTGTTCATTGATCTTTGTTGGCCTCGCGCTTCCTGAGATCCGTTTCGGACCTTAGTCACTTCTTGGGTGTAGAGCATGTTAGCGGAAACAAGCAGCTTGGGTACTTCACCGATCCACTCGATGGGAAGTGAGTGACGGATCTTCCGGTGAGATGTGTCTCGTTTCGTTTAGGTTACTACCGGGGTTCAACAAGCCGTAGGCCTTGCGTATTTGCACCCCAGACGTGTTGCTCGTACTTGCCGCTCCTTTCGGGTAAACGGCTCCGAGCCTCGCTTACTCAACGAAATCCATCCTCCCCGCCGAGGATGGACGGAGCCGCAAGCGTCCCAATCCCCCCAAGAAACAGGGAGAGAAGGATCCCTAGCTGAGGTGACGCAAAAGTAAACCATGGCACCCTGCGAATCACACATGCCACAATAGCAGAAACTGCCAGCCTTTCGTTTTTGCACTTGTCCAGGAGGGGCCTTGTGTCAACTTGCATGGCGCCTTTGCAGGAAGTGTCAGTGCGTCGCACCATTACACCGTTTTGTTTTATGCCCGCATTGTTTCAAATTGTGCTCACATTCAAGAGGTATTTGTTTCTCATGGTCCAGTATTCCCTTGGCGGGTGGTATGTATCGTTTGACCCTGTCCAGGTTTGACAAAGATCAAATTTCGTGGGGTCGTTTGGCTGAAATTGAATTCGCAAGCTTGCTGCCAGGGACCAAATCCCGAGACACCCAGTGCCCGATTGTTCCATTTGCTTTTTGGAGGTTTGCCGAAGCAACCGACAAAAGTGCCTGGCCGCCACGTCTGGGTCTGGCTGAAGCTTTTTGCCTGCGTCTCAGGCGAGGAGGTGGATCTGCCGATCTTCTTTTTCATCGCCGCTGGGCGAGTCAGGGCAAGTCGCGGTGGGATTCCCGTAGGCACCCTTTTAAATTTTGCTTGGTTGAACATGATGGCCCTGCTGGTTATTCCTCTAGAAGCCGGCTTTTTCCAAAGCCGACCAAAGCATACCAAAACGGACCTATGCCAGTGTTGCCTCTTTTCTAACATGGACATAAAAGGTCCATAAGGAGATTCCTTTGGGTGGTTTTTGGGGTTCCATGCAATGTCAATCTGGGGTCTTGGCTATGGATCCCGCCCCTCTGTCTGGGATGGCTTAGACATCGGCTTTTGAGGCCCATATAAGGGGTGATGTTGAAGGGGGAAATGTTTAAACCCTGACTCCGCCGAATTCAGTTTAGTTTAACGTAGATTGCGCTGGTTTCAGCTTGGTTCTAATGATTCACCAGTGCCATTTGTTCGTCCTTAAGGATAGCTTGGAATCGGCCGCTACTTGCGACAATTCGCGATTCATAGTGCTGGTTCTGGGTTTGCAGTGTTGCGTGACGCTGGGTTGCGGCATGCTGTGTGTGTGTGCGTGTTGCTTGAATGCATGCTCGAATGCCTGAACAAGTGTTTGCATGCGTGCAGGCTTTGATTGTTTCTTAGTTTGGGTTGCTTTTTGGTTCGCGTGCTTGCTTAGTAGCTTCTTGACTTGTGGCGTGCTGGTTTGTTGGTTGGTGTATTGAATGTGTGGGTGTGCATGTTTGTTGCGCCTGTTGTGTTTTGTCGTGTTGGTTTGTGTTGTGCAATCTGTTTTGGTCTGATTTGGCTGTTGCTTGTTGGCTGTTGGCTGCTCAGTTGTTTGGTTGTTTGGCCACCGGTTTTTGTCGGCGGCTGTTGTGTTTGCCAAGGGATTCAGCCTTTTCAAGAACAAAGTGCCTCGTTTATGTCGCCTTCAAAGGTGTCCGGAAAGGGATGATTGTGAAAACCACCCCCGTGTAGCTTTTAGTTTCCTCATTTGGAGACATACCCCTGCATCGTTTTCGTGAGATTCCCTCAGTTTGCAGCGTGTATTTTTGGAAGGCAGCCTTTGCGCTTCTTCAAGAGAATTCTTCCCTTTCCCCTTTCAGCGTGTTTCAGCAGGCACAACAAAAAAACACATGGTTCGGTCTAAGGATCCGCTGATGGGGCGCGATACGTGCACGACCCCAGTTGGCTTTCGGATCGAGTTCAGGGACCGACTTGCCTGGAGGAAGCCAAGATTTCCTTTCACGGCGTGGGAGAAAAGGCAAAGCTAGGGACCTCTTCTTCCATTTGGTTAAGATATTTTTCCTTCTCCCTGGTTGGCTCTAAAGGGAATCTATCACTACTGGAACTAGTTTTTTCCCCAGGGGACTTAAGCAAGTGGAGGTCTTGGTTGTCTTCCGTTCCTTTGAAACCAAGTTCCCTATGTTGAGACCCAAGTATCCCAAATCACCGGTTAGCCTCCCATTGCCACACGGGGGTGGTTGACAGGGGCCTCCTATAGCCTTAAGGGTCCAGTTTCCCTCATGACGCCATGACTCTATGCATTTGGGTGGGTGTGTCTCAAAATAGGGGACCCCTTTTTGGATGGTTTTTAAAGGAGACTGAAAGGAACCCCCCTGCCTGGAGGGGTCTCCAATTTGGAGAAACACCAACCCCCCTACCTGCATGGGTCTCCAATTTCCCATGTTGGACAAATTCAATGGCAACCCCAAATCCTAAGCCCCTTCGCTACTGAAGTTGCGATCGGGGTCGTGGCTTGTGCGGGGTGGGCAGCAACAAGATTCCGCTTGGGACGTTCGATTTATGCCAAGCACTTGTGGAAATCCTCACTTCCTGAGTTCATGAACTTTAATTTTTTGGGGAAGTCCATTTTAGTGGTAAATATACCGTTTGGGCTCTTTCTGGGCCATCTACTCAGCAAGTGAGAATCTGTGAAATGGTTGGGACATTCGATGTATCTGTGGACCCCCCTTTTTTTCCGAGGCCAATAGGTTTGGTCAAAGACCCCTACCAGCTATTTTGACCACTTGTGTTTTCCTCGAGAAGCAAAACATGGTTGTTGTTTTGCTTTAAGTTGCAAAGGGAAACCAACAGAACCTCTTTGGAGTTCCCCAACTTTGAGACAACCCCTTCAAACACATATGTTGAGAGAGCCCTTCAAACACATCGCAGGGACTCCCCAGAAACCATAAGAGGAACTCTCCCCGATGCACGCGTTGATGCAAAAAACATCGAAAACGGACAGCGTGGCGGAAGCGGGCGGAAGCGCGCCGCTGTGAAAACTGGGACTATGTTGGAGTTGATCCATGTTCCATTTAGTGCCCCCAGTTTTGGCCAAGGATGACGTTCCCCAGGTGGGGAAATATATATATATATATCGTTTGTTTCGTGAGTAGTGGCTTTCCAATGGTCATCCCATGTAGGGGACCTTTTGATCAACCCCCGTGCGTTGTTTTTTGCTTGGTTCGAGACTGGAGAATTGTTCAGGTAGCCCTTCATTGGTGGTTTGGATTGGCGATTTGGGGATTTGACCTGGTTCTTGTGGAGGGGTAAATGGGGTTCCCGCTCCTCAACCGCCAAACCACCGATTCGGCTCCGGCTCCAAACCATCGATCAATAGACCCGGATCTGCCTTCTCCCTTTGAATACGCCCAGGTGGTATCCCCAACAGCCCCAGAAGCCCCGGAACCCTCCATGCGAAGCCTCCTGAAAGCGCCCCGAACCACCGCGATCGAGCCCATCTGGGCAGAGACCCAACAGCTGAAGCCAAGCTTCAGCCGTGGAAAAAGAGGTGGTTTTCCTTTGGGTATCCTTTAAAACCAACCCTTAGCAAGTGTCCCCTACAAGCAAATGACGCATGTCTCAACGCATGTCCGGGTCCGACCGTTCGGTTAAGTTCAGGCGCTTTGACCACGTGGATCGCATTACCCTGTCCTACCTCTTCTTCGAGTCGGACTCCGAGCTGCCGGAGGAGTACGAGGAGACACTGAGACGTCAGAGAGGGCTCCGAAGAAATGATTGGAAGCTCCTTTCAAAGTTAGACGGGCCGAAGGAATAGGTTTTTAAAGCGCAACTTGACTTTCGTTACAGTGCATACTATGGTTTTGGCGGGAAAAGCCCTTTGCGGCCAGGCGTTCATTGTGGCTCACCTGTCTGAGTTCATGTAGTGCGGGGTGTTGTGAGCACCACACTGTTGGCCGCTGAACCAGAGATAATGTGACCATAAGTTTTAGAGAGCCAATCTACCCCAAGTCTTCTTGTGAACAAACAAGCAAGCAAACCAACATGCAAGCAAGCAAAGCAAAGCAAAGCAAAGCAAAGCAAAGCAAAGCAAAGCAAAGCAAAGCAAAGCAAAGCAAAGCAAAGCAAAGCAAGCAGGCAGGCAGGCAAGCAAGCACGCAACCAAGCAAGCAAACCAACAAGCAAGCAAGTCAACAAGCAAGCAAACCAGTAAGCAAGCAAGCAAGCAAGCAAGCAAGCAAGCAAGCAAGCAAGCAAGCAAGCAAGCAAGCAAGCAAGCAAGCAAGCAAGCAAGCAAGCAAGCAAGCAAGCAAGCAAGCAAGCAAGCAAGCAAGCAAGCAAGCAAGCAAGCAAGCAAGCAAGCAAGCAAGCAAGCAAGCAAGCAAGCAAGCAAGCAAGCAAGCAAGCAAGCAAGCAAGCAAGCAAGCAAGCAAGCAAGCAAACCAACAACCTAGCAAACAAGCCAATCCCATGTTTTGTTTACAAAAGAAAACAGACTTCCTGTACAGGACACTTAGTCAATTTGGATCGGCGAGCTTGATGGGCCAGGCTTAGCACATGGCATTGCTGCGATCTCATGGACGCCTACACACGTGCCACCAACTTGAGTTTTCGCAGGGAGCCCAGTCCGAGACTTCTCCCAGAATTCCAACTTCCCAGATTTCCAGACCCACTTGGAGGTCCCTGCGTTGCCTCGGCGTATGCCTACTACTACTACCGTTTGGCAACGTATTTTCGCGTGGCCCCCCTGTTAGCCTCCCGCGTGGCCGCAGCCAGGGGAAAGAAAGCCGTGTAGCCTCCGTGTAGGTATGTGTTTCCATTGTGTACCACTTTTTTTCTGTATAAACACGGCTTGTATGTGTGTGTGTGTGTGAGTGCATATCATGTTGCCAACATGTGCGCATTGCTATGAGTGCGAGTCACACTACCATGAGATGCGCAGGTAAACTGATGTGCTTATCGCGGCGCCACCATGAGTGCAGTGTTATGAGTCGCGAGCGTTGGTCTGGAAACGACTCGAAATTACCAGGCACCGCGCAGCGCGCGGAGCAATACGTCACGTCGCAATCCATGTTTGCCGCGAACATGGCAAAGTGGTGCCCGTCTCTTTCTTGCAGTAGCAGGGACATCGCAGCTGTTTCCTGAAAATCTGTCGCAGTTTCACCAGAGTGGCGCTCGTGTGAGCCAGTGGTCGAAACAGGGGCACAGCAGCTTTTTGGGGGGAATCTGGGATGGTCAGGGATAGGTTGCGCTTGCGCTTCGCGCAAACCGTTGGGCTCCCTCTGCCAGAGCAGAGGGCTTGACACACCAGAACCCATCTTGACCCGGCTCCCCAAAGACCCGGCCTCGCCGCGAAAACATCCGAGGGCGAGCTGGTCAAAAGCGGGGTGAACCGATTTTGGTGCTGTGTCCCTTGTTAAAACTTTGACGCATTTTGCATGGCTGTTAGGACGTTTAACTTTTTCCCAACTAATGGGTTTTCCACTAAACCACTAAAAGTTGCACTTTTAGCAGGGGAGCAGAAAGCAACCGAGAAAAGGTTAACCATCCCCACAGGCTGTGTCCATGGCGCATCCCGCAGGACTTCAAGAAGAGTTTGCCTTCTAGCGCCGGCCTCGGTGTGTTGAAGGGCGTCGATCCCGTCAGGAAAGGCGGGCCGTTGCAGATTTAAAGTCTCCAGCAACATGACGGGGGCATATAATATATATATATATATCTATCAATGTTGGGTTCGGTCTCTTATATTTTTTGCCAGAAGCCATACTGTGACAATGCTAACATCCACCGGTCGCTGGTATGTAATTCCCTAGGTGGGTGTGGTTATGGCTCACATGTGTGTGTGTGTGTGTGTCAACGTAATCAGAAAGCCATGCAGTCCTTGCGGCGAGAAGGGGGCATACTGACGACTAAATTGAAAAAAAAGAGCTAGCTTTAGTGCCTAACGAGGATCATTATCTTTAAAACAATTAAAACTCATAGGACATCACATGGGCCTTAGGAGTGCATCTATGTGTTATCATGATCAGACCCCATGCGGGATATCTTTTTACGCCTTGAAAACTCGATACATTAGTAGGCCCACCTTTATGCATATTCCTGGGTGGCACGTCACCCCTTGGATTCATTTTATTGGAATACTTTTGTTCGAAGAATGCTTGAAGGGGCTTGGTTGTCGGGTCCCCTGACTGTTCATTTAAGGAATTCCTGCGGTGGATCCACGTGGTCCCCCTGCTTAGGGTGTGCCCATTGCAATTGTGAATCGTTGCTGGTTGATGTGCATGGGGTGGCATTTCCGAGGGTGCGCATTTGAGGAGCGCCCCCCCCCCCCCCCAAGTCTGTCGGGTAGATGAAAAAAGGGGGCTCAACATGAATAGGACCCCCCCGCCCCTTGATGAAAAAGCGGCTCAGGAACCCATAGGTTCTCCAAATCCCCGCGATTGAGAGGTTGACCATCCTACCCCAAGCTGCGAGCGCTTTCTCTTCGTGCAGTGCGAACGCACGGTCCGCTCGCTTCGCAGCTTCGCAGGCCGGCAGCCAGAGGTCCTGTCTGCTCCCAAGCCTAAGGAGGCCCAAGTCGCCTGGCGATTCGCTTGGGAAAGTGACTCTCCCCATGCGCGAGGTCTAGGAGTGAGCAGGTCTCGACGGTGCCCTCTTGGGAATGTTCGAGCGAAACCAAAGGAAGGCCGCGAATTTTGGGTTGCACCCCTCCAGTTGGACACGAAGCCTAATTGCTGGCCAACGTGGTGTGCACAAGTTGAAATGTGGATGGAATGCATGTTGCCCGTGAGAACACACCGAAAGTGTCACACAAACATGTTGCAGGTTAAAATTCCAGGTTACAATTCACTTCCCCCCTTGCCCCTGCTAGAATGTGAGAGTCAGGTCGTCAGGGGAGGCTGTATCCAAACTGCCAGTCAAAATTGGAACCATGAAAAACACACGGTGCTGAGAGTAAAAGGGGCCTGTGTTCTTTGCGTTCCCTCCAACATTCATCATTTCTTCAGCAGGGTCGTTCACCTGGATTTGCTGGTTGCGACTTGCCTGATGTCAGTGGGACAGCCATAGACTGACCTCGAAGGGCTTCAAGCGCGAGCTGGCTGGTTGCATCGGCGCTTCTTGGGAGAAGCTCCCTGAACAATCCCGGCTGAAATTCTGACAGCTCCAGCGAAAATCAGGAATCCCCAAGGAGCCTTCATGCAGCTGGTCCTTCCCAAGCGAGGCGAAAGTGCAGGATGGTCAATTTGATTCCCGCTTCCTGGTCCATGCGGCGGAATCGGATCCACAGCCAGGGCGTTCCCAACCCAATGTGACATGAGGCACAATCATGTAGGTGACTGTAGGTGTGATTTTTTTTTTTTTTCGTAGCCCTTTGGTGGACATCAAAAAAAAGTGGAGATTTGTGTCCAGCAACTATAGAGAGGAGGCTCCCCTATGATAAAGTCATAGCCCTGTGACTCAAGAACAAAGTGAACCCACCCCTCGGGGTGTACGCTTGTTGGCCTGCAGAAGGCCGTACTTTGCATGTTCAAAAGATCTGATACCGAACTAGGCCTCGTTAAAAGGTGTCCTTCCCCCCCTTGGGCACTAGTCATTTGCTCACTTCCTGGGTTCATGAACTTTAAACTTTTTGGGAAGACCATTTTACGTAGTTGTAAATGTAAAGTTTGAACTTGTTTTGGGCCATCCACTCAGCAAGTGAGTTTGAAGAGAGACAATGTGAAGTTTCAGTTCTGGAAGGGACCTCTCACATGGAACTGAGAAACCCAGTTGAGTTAATGGATGCCTAGTTCAAGCAGTCCAGTTGGCAGTCCGCTGTCGGGAATGTCCAACTCGACTCCAAGACATCCCAAAGCTTTCGCGACCAACGCGTGTCCAAAAAATGCTGGAATTCGCACCCAAAACAGTGACTTACCTCTTAAAAACACAACTTTTCAACTTTTTGGGTAACATGGGCTATATGTCTGTAAAAGATTAACTTCCCCAGGGCGAACAACTGGCGAATAAGGCTCACGTGAACCAACCTGAATCACAAGCGCTGTGAGTCCAACAGGTTGTACCCCTCGCGGTTTCTTAAGCTTGGAACGATCAGTCTTGGGCAATCAGTGGGACTTGCGCCCAACCCAAACCCAGGAGGGTATGGCTTTCTGAGGGACCCCGGTGGTTTTCCAAGTGGTTACACAAACAAAAAATATAGCCTGGCCAGCTTCTTTTCAGTGCCCTCGATTCACTTTTTGGGTGCTATGCTCCATTTGGAAAATAAGGGCACTTAGTCCTAAATCAAAGAGGTCACTTGAGCCATTTAAAGGGCACTTAGACCCTCAGGGTTGCCCTCCCCAGCAGATCCCTCCTCAGTCCGGGCAAATCGAGTCGCAGCGACACGTGAATGCGAATGACACTCGCACGGGGGCGGGACCGACACTGGGCAAATCGAGCCGCAGCGACACGCGAATGACACTCACGCAGGGGGGACCGACACTAGCGTGAGTGACCTTTCCAAGGGGTAAGTGACCTCGATTCGCACCCCCAATGACACTCAAATGACACGCTTTGACACTCAAAACGCCATGTTCGGGCTTTCCGGGTTGGCCCCAATCAAATGTGACAGTTTGTCACACTTCGACACGGGTAGCTCTTCTAATTCAACAGAATCCCAACCCCTATCAAGCCAAAAAGGGCACTTAGCAAACGAATCAAAGGGGCCTTTAAGTGCCTCGATTCAAAAACAGGCCAAGTGCCCTCCATTGGAGGGCACTAAAAATATGCTGGCCACCAGTATTTACCTACGGAGTTTCATCATCCAAATTTGGTCTTTGCCATTCTTTTCATGGGTTGGCAAGGAACTGCAGGGAAGGGGCCCGTACCCTCTCAAAAAGACGTCCTCGAAAGAAGTTTTTGCATCTGACGTTTGATTCTTCGCAAGGCGCCGGCTTCAGCGGCTTGAGCAGCCGCGCCTTGGCTGACGAACTGGTAGCCAGGAGTTGTTGTTTGTTTTTTTCCCCTCGAGGATCGCCCAGTTGCAACCAGGGGATCCCGCCCATATTGTTAAACGCATTTTTGGGGCAGGGGTTCAACCCACCAGAAAAGAATGCTCTTTACCCATTGTCCACTGGGCATCTGGATGGGGGTTTCCCTGCAAACCTCGGATCTAAGTAGAACTGGTTGATTTTGAGAGATGGGGGTGTCCGATTCCTGGGGGTTCAGACCACTGGAGTGTTCTCGAAATTCGAGGCGTTCTACTTAGATCCGGGTCAACAGGGAATTCCGGGAATGGACTCGGGCCAGGGGAAACCAAGATGGAGGTTTTGCCCTCGAGGGCATGTAAAGGATGCACTATTGGACTCGAAGCATCCTGGAAATGACTTCAGGGGTTGACACCTGCATTTTGGTTTCCCCTGTTGCGTTTTGTTTTTAGTTGTGTTCATGTTTGGGATGCGTTCCTTTTGTTGGTTTTGGTGGGGGAAGGGGTGCGGCAAAGAGCAGTGCGTTTGGCACAGATACCATAGGTTGGGAAGGTTTTTTTTTTTTTTTTTCCTCTGCCCATGCCCTGCTCACAGTCAACAAATCGCCAAAGCTTTTGTATCAACACTGGTTGGTGAGGAAACAGGACCCCCGAGACCTTGCCATGCGACTATATGGGTGCTCAGCGATCATTTGTGAGAACAGATCCGAGGAGTTGGTTCACCCGCGAGGCATGACTTGACGCTGAGATCTCCTTGGTCGCAACTTCCGAGGGCCCTGGCAAGCCCTGAATCTCTGAGAGGGACTACAGGGGGTCGTCTAAGAACAAATGTCAAGGATACATCGCTGTGGTTGCCCTTTTTTGCCGAATCTTGGCCTGGCAAGAATGGCCCTTTCCTCGCGGATTTGGGTCCGCTTGCGATTCCGAGCGCGCCAGCCGCCAGTTGCTTTCAGGAAACTCAGAAGAGCTCCATTGCCTGAAACGGGCCGGAACCAGTGCCGCAACCCATGGCTTACTGGACATAGACCGGACCCAGCTTTGGCTAAAGTGTGGTTTCCCCAACTCCGACTTTCGCAAATATCACAAACCTAGCCCCCTTTTCTTTGCGGAAGCAGCTACTGTGGATGGACGAACTCCTGCACCACCGAGAAACCTTGGAATACAGAGTCCCCTGTAAATGCCAACGAACAATGGCTTCAACCATGGTTTGATGGGTGGTGCGAACTGGATTTCGTCCATCCACAGTATGGCCCATGGGTCCACCATGGCTCCACGCCTTTCGCAGGTGCGTGCCTTTCCGAGCTGCGCTGCGTGGCGCGCGCGAGAAAGCGCCAACTCGGCCGAGCGGGTTTGCTCGTGGGGAGAGTCCGGGAGTTGGGAAAGCAGCTGGACATCTTGACATGGACGCGGCACATGGCTCGTCTTTTTGGCAGGCGAAACGCCCAAATGGGTGGGAACCCCTCCTTGGTCTCCCTGTAAACCAACCGCAATCATCTACCCACAAAGAAAGACACACCCACGGTGTTTGCATAGTGTGATGTTATCGGGCATGCTTTTTATAGGGGAAATAAAACAGTTCAGGGTGCGGCTACAGGAAGGCTCGCTTCTTTTGGACAGTCAGGAGCCATACGGACGTCCCACAACTGCATGAGCTTTACAGCAGATTGCCCTGATACTGCAAGAACATCAACCACAAAACATAGTAAACAACGGTTGTCTCTTGCTTCCCAAACGTCATCGTTAGGAAGTATGTGTATGTATATATATATATTCTAAAGCTGAAGTAAGCCAACGGATTGGACTGGGGCTAGACATGCACAACGCGGGCACATGGCGGGTATTTCCGGCCCTTGGACCCATGAGCCATGCCGGGGTGGTGGAAAAGCATGTTTCGAAGGCCATGGAGCGTGCAAACATCAAGTCTCTGACGCCGCACATGAAACCCCAAGAGGCTTAGATGCATGCTAAGCAGGGGGCCAGGCAGTTTCAGTTCAAGTGCCTCCCCTGCAAAGGGAAGTCGTTAAAACAAGTGGGGGGGTGGCCCAAGCCCTGTGTCCGCACATTGGAGCCAAACACCCTGTTGGTCAGTTTCAACGGACACCAAAGGCCAGCTCCCACCACCACCTTCCCACCCCCGACCCCACCCATCCTCGCTCACCTGGTGGTTGTTCTTTGTCTAGAAAGAAAAAAAACAGAAAATCTGACAATCTGACACAACAGGTGAGCGGGGGTGGGTGGGCAGACACTCACCCACCAACTTCTCACAATCGTATTTTAGGGCAGACACTCTGACCATCTACGGATGCTCTCCCGCAGATCAACATGGAGCCCGCAAAAGGGTCTTTTGGAGACAAATCCCCTTTGGGGGCCTTTGCTAGGTTGATGTGTTGAAGTTATTTTCTTGCCTAATTTTCATTTTCTCTCCCGGACTATCCCGATGTTGCTTCCATTCGCAGGTCGGCAAACACAAAAGAGGGCAGCCCTTTCTTGTCCCATGAGTTTTGGTTAAGCAGAATGCTGAGCAGGGATATGTTGCCAAATGCCACTGCTTTTTCTCGAGACTGCGCTTGGGTCAGTGCATGCAAAGCATGGCTCCGCGTACAATGCAAAGCAACAGCCAGCACCCTCACATGAACATCAGTGCTGAACCGCAGGCTGGAACCTGGCCAAGTTGCCAGAAGCTAGTCTGCCAGAACCCAGTTGCCCAGTGGGTTGCTCCCTTTATATCGACCTGGTTTTGGGAAGGGTGTCCCTTTAAAGTCAACCAACCAAAAAAGGATGCCTTTTTTGCCATGGCCACTGGGCATCTGAGAGAACAAGGTTTCAACCAGCAGTTGGAAGAAGTCAGCCATGGCAAGAGAGATTACGGTGCGACAACTGTCTGGGGAGGAAAAGACATTCAAAGTGACCCCGCACATCACTGTCCTTGAGTTCAAGAGGCAGCTGCGCGGGTGGCTGGCCTGTGCAGATGAATCGCATCGCAACATGAGCTCAGTGGAAGTGGTTATTGGGGACAGGCTCCTGTTGAATGACAGGGAGACGGTGTCAGAAGCAACTCAAGGTGCAGAAGGTGCGGAAGTTTCGGCTTTCCTGAGCATAAAGCCGGTGACATGCTCAAGCTTCCGCACTGCCATTGTGGAGCGTGAAGATTTGCGTGTGGTGGAAATTCCATCAGGAGTGACAGGGATCGGGTCTAGTGCCTTCGAAGGTTGCAGCTCATTGGCAAGAGTGACCATCCCCAACTCAGTGACTCGCATTGCGCCTTGCGCCTTCTCCGGTTGCAGCTCATTGGCAAGTGTGACCATCCCCGACTCAGTGACTGAGATTGAGCTTTGTGCCTTCCACGGTTGCAGCTCATTGGCAAGTGTGACCATCCCCAACTCAGTGACTCACATTGCGCCTCGCGCCTTCCAAGGTTGCAGCTCATTGGCAAGTGTGACCATCCCCAACTCAGTGACTCACATTGCGCCTCGCGCCTTCCAAGGTTGCAGCTCATTGGCAAGCGTGACTATCCCTGACTCCACAACTCAGATCGGGAGTGATGCCTTCCAAGGTTGCAGCTCATTGGCAAGTGTGACCATCCCCAACTCAGAGACTCACATTGCGCCTCGCGCCTTCCAAGGTTGCATCTCATTGGCAAACGTGACCATCCCCGACTCTGCGACTTGGATTGGACAAAGCGCCTTCGAAGGTTGCAGCTTATTGGCAATCAGGAGAGGAGAGAGGAGAACTTCTCCGGGAGCCCCACGCAGCAAAGTTCGGAGAACGACCTAGATAGTTAGTTTTGATAGAATTGAAGCTAAGCCTCGCAGAAGTACCCCAGTATGGTACAGAAGCAGCTTTGAAGAACCTGCACAAGTGCCTTGCAAGGCTAGTTCGCAGTAGCCCTTTTTAGCAGCCAGCACGTCGCAGAACATGTTGCCCCAGAACGCAGCAAGGTAGCTCAACGGTAGCTCCCTTTTTTTTTTCCCGCAGCAGAGAGACATCACAGCTGTCGCCTGAAATCTGTCACAGTTTCACCAAAGAGGCTCGCATGTGAGCCAGGTGTCAAAACAATGGGGCCAGCGGCTATTTTGGGGGCTCAGCGATGGTCAAGAATAGGCTGCTTCGGACATGGCAATGTGGCCGTTTGTCCAAGCTTCAACACGCCTTCTTTCTAGGAAGCCTCCGGAAACCCAGGGAAAATAGCTGGTTTTTGAAAAGAACGATGGTTGAAAAGAATGGGGAATCAACCCCTAGATTGACGTTTGCTTTCAACTTGCTTTGGTTGAGGCGCTTTGCCGTTTGGCTGCAGCTGAGCCGTTACAGAGAAAGAAAGCCAGAGAGAAAGAAAGCCAGCTGAGGCGCATATTCCACAGCTGAGCAGGCTGAGGATCCTGCACAACAGCTGTAGGAAGCAACTTGACACAACTTGGTACTCAAAGCCATTCTTCTGAGTTTCCGATTATAAACGAAGCACCTAAATGAAGCACCGTACTGGTTGGCATTGTCAGTCCTTTTTCCTATGCATCTCACTAATCCGACCCTTTGCAAGTTTGCGCCGACTGGTGCGTTGGATGCACGAAGCAAGTGAGGTTTGCTATGAGTTGAGTTTCCCAAAGACTCACTCCCAATCGAGTTTCTGGACTTTCCTTGCTTGGGTTTGGACCATTTCAGTGGCAAAAAGTGTGGGGCCAATCCATTCGATGAGTGAGAAGAAGCAGAGTTCCTGGAGAAGAACTGCCGCTACCATGTCCAAAAACTCCCCTTGGTGTCCAAAAAGCAGTGTTGGGTACTGGAAGGAACCAGCTTTTGACTTGATTAAAGGCACCAGCTTTCGACACCCGTTGGAAGCGGTACCTATGGAATGTCAGCCTTCCGCCCTGCCGCAGTTGCTGCCGCAGGCGGCACACTCAAAGCCGTTGGGTCTCGAGTTACCCCAGTTTTGGTAAAGGGAAACCAAGAGGAAGTCGCCCCATTTGAAAAGGGGCGGGCCCTTGAAAAAGCACACACACTTTGTGCCTTTTAACCAGCCAGCAATCAAGTTTCTGCGGCTGGTCTTTGGCCAAGAGTCGAGTTTTGAGAGAGCGCACATTGCGCGATCTAAGCCGGACTTGTGCCTTCCTGTGTTTCTATAGCATGCACCCCTAAAGTGCAAAGGAGTAGATGTGGTCTGCAGTAGTCATAGGCATGTGTATTGTGTCATTTTCCTTGGGGCTGCAGCGAATAAGCACAGAACACTACACCTCTTGCTCATGAAACAAACATATTTGGGGGGCCTGGTCCTGTTGTGTTTTTGTTGAACCTGAAGGCTCAAAATTAAGTTCAGGTTGCCCTTTCAATTAGTGCTTCCTTTTCTGGGCCGTAAAGTGGTCGGGATGCAGCTTCTACACAAAGACATGTGGGTATGGGTCAAGAATAGGGTAACCCCAAAATGGAACCCTGGTAAAAAAGAGGAACAACTATATCCTGCGGTCCATATCCTGGCTAAAGCAATTGACCCATACCCATATGATGTCTTGGCGCTAGTTGATTTGCAGTGCTTACAGGTTAGGCTCCAGGCAGGGACTCGTCAGCAGTTGAGGTTCGGGTGTCGTTTGTGTTTGCAGTCTGGAAGCACATGTTGAGTGTGGGAACCTCGCTTATTCGGAAGAGGGCAATATCTAGTTTGGACCAGTTGTGATTGTTCGGAAACACCATCATGCAACTCTTGGTGGGGGGCAACCCAACGCAACGATCCATGTTTAAAGCGCTGGATGATTCGTACCCTTCCCATGATCCACGTCAAGGGAGACAACACTTATCAAGTGCAGGGGCACTTGAGGAACTGGCGCAAAACCAAATCTTCAGATTGGGTCAACCAGTTGATGGCTTCTCTGATTCCCTGAGAAGCGGTCATCAAGGATCATCCAATGTGGCTGCAGTCAACCAAGCCATCACAGGCCTCGAGAGACTTGCCCGCAACTCAACAGGAGCCCGTCCACCACAATCCAACCAACCAACCAACCAACCAACCAACCAACCAACCAACCAACCAACCAACCAACCAACCAACCAACCAACCAACCAACCAACCAACCAACCAACCAACCAACCAACCAACCAACCAACCAACCAACCAACCAACCAACCAACCGGCCAACCCACCCACCGACCAACCGACCAAGCAAGCAAGCAACCAACCAACCCACCAACCAACCAACCAACCACCCACCCAGCAATCAACCAACCAACCAACCAAGCAGTCCAAGCAGTCCAATGTTTCCACTTGTCGTAGCGGAAGGTGCTTCCCATGATGGAGTGGAGTGACATCCGCACTGGCCCCGGCGATTCATATCGCGGTGCTTGGCGCGTGTGTGTATGTGTGGGTTGATGAGATGGTGGGGTTGGGGTGGGGTTTGTGTGAGGTGGTGGTGGTGTTGGAGTTGGGGTGGAATTGGAGTAGAGTTGGAGTGGGAGTGGACTTGAAGTTGGAAGTTCGGGTGGAGACTTGCTGTGATGCCAAGAAATTCCGGCGGGCGTGATACAGTTGTCATAGGGATTGCCAATGCAGCATCACGGAAAGGTGAATTTCCGCAGATTCAGGGACAGGCCACAAACGGCCGGTTTTCAGGTGGGGGCCCAGTCACAACAGTGGATACCGCATGATGCGGCATCAGCTACGTGTCACTGTGGTGTATTCCTTGGCATGTATGAGAGGTACTTTTCAGTGGCAGCGTCTATTTAAGGCAGGGCAATGCCGGTTTGTTGCGCTTCAAGCTGCTTTTTGTGATGTCCAGTTTTATTTCTTGCGAATGCAAGCGGCGAGATTCAGAGCTTTCCGGGCCCTTGCTCTTGATGACTAGATGTAGAGCTTTCGAGGCCCAGAATTGAAGATTCTGCTTGTCTCTTTGTGATGGTTCATCACACCCGTTGGTAGTCGTTGCAGATGTTGTTATGAGCTAGCAATAAATACTAATGAACTGTAGCTCTACAATCCCTTGGTTGGTATTTTCCTTTTCACTGGTTGCAATGGCCCCGTGTTTTGACCATCCCAAGTCATAGACGCCCCTCAACATCAATATGGACCTCGAGCAAAACCAAATTGCATTTTTGGAGACTCACCTCACCCAGGCCGCTGTTTATCCGGTCTAATAATTCTGTGTTTGTTTCTATTATGAATTTGGAATGTGGCAGTGTTTCACAACATGAAGCCTCTTTTTGGTCTGTGTGAAAAGACACGCCACAACATGATACCTATATGAGGGGCTCCTACTTTTGCCACGTACACGTGTTTTCACCTGACACCGGTGTGTTCCTACGTTAGTTGGTCCACGGCACATAGACGGCCGTGGGGGTTTTAGCTGATTTGGTTGGGGGGGATGGGGGGGTTGAAGGGGGGGATTGGGGGGGAAATTAAAAAAGGAAATGTAATTACGTTCGTCGGTACGCGCCGTGCTTTACGTGAGCCCATCGTACACGCAGCAGCGTGCTTTACCTGAGCCCATCGTACACGCAGCAGCGCACGTGGGGGGGGGGGAAGGGGGGCATGTAAATATGTGCGTTGCAGTGTCACGATACATTTGGACTATGTTTCGCTTTTGAAAGTGGAGGGGCATTTTCTGTTGTGCGAGGGTTCACACAAGTAGCAAAAGGCAACCCTTGCAGGAATTTCTATATAAACGCATGTGTGTATATATATATATATATATTTATGTGTCAATAAAGGATTCTGTGGCCTATCATGATGTCGATATTGAACATGGGGTCCTTGCGGCAAAATGGAGGTGTTCAATACATTCACATGACACCAAGCGACCACACATCGACGTTTGCAGGGGGTTTTGTAGCCTATCAGGATGTCGATATTGAACATGGGGTCCTTGCCAGTGTCATGAGGGCCAAATGGAGGTGCCAAGCAACCACACATTGACGTTTGTAGAGGGTTTGCCTTTTTGGGGCTCCCTTTCTGTGACAAGCACGGTGATATGATGCTCAGCAAGGACGGTGACGGCTCTCGGCATGCAAAATGGTGTTTGCTGTGTCTTCGCAAGTAGTTGCACCCCATTGCGAAACAGTCCTCGAACTCTTGAACAACGTGGCGCTTGTGTGACGAAACATAGGTTTGCATGCGAAACTGCTTGTAATTGCAGCGCAAAAGGGAAATACGTTTCCCCCATGGAATTTACAGCGCATGAGCGCAGAGGCGGTGACGTGCATGAGAAAACCTCACGGCCGGCTATGTGCCGTATGCCCAGTTTCGACTCCGTTTGCAGAACTGACGCATTTACTGGGATCTCTTCTGAAGTACACTGCGACACATTTTAAGGTGCGCTGCAGTCGCTGTGTGAGCGCGCAGCAAACCCTTTTGGAAGACCAATAAGTAAAGGGCTGGACATGACATGCCAACATGTGCAGTAGAACGTGCCACAAGTCTGTGTACGGGAATACCCTTAGGCAAGGACGCCAAAGTGTCTTTCTTTACTACACTTTCACTGAACAGTTGCGACCTTCGAGCCGGAGCTGCCAAAGTAAAGTGTACTTTATTTGCTGCACTTGTGCTGAGAAGTTGCGACTTTCGATTTGAGCCGGAGCTGCCGAGGTGCGCTTCCTTTATAACACTTGTGCTTAAAAGTTGCGACTTTGGAGCGGGCTGTCAAAGCGCACGTCCCTTTTAGTGCACGTGTACTCAACAGCTCTTGTTTTCCCCCACACGAGGTTCCGCAAGTTGCTCACATGGGTGTTTTATGGTGCCAAGCAAACCAAAAGGAAAACCGCTATTGCGGACTATCCCCCCAAGAGACAAGCCCAGAACCAATCATGAAACATGGCCCAAAAAGCAGAAATGTGCTTTTCAAAATGGTTTGGGATTTGAACCCCTTGCTTTTAGAGTGTAAATGGGAAACCCCTCCTTAGCGCCACCAAACCAAAGCTGAAAACTTGCGTTTTCCCTTCCATGGGTGTGGGTCAAAATTAAACCACCAAACAAACCACAAGCTTTCATTTACCAGGACAGCCCATTTTGGGGTTACCCTATCCCAGTTGACCAACCAAAAAAAGATGCCCATTCTTTTTTCGCATGGGAATCCACTGGGCATCTGAGCAATTTTTGGCCCCCAGCTCGGTTTCTCTTAGAACGAGCGGCGCCTTTGAGGCCGCACCTGTTTGGCGCAGAAGCACTGCAGCCGGAGCCTGGTGCAGGCGCAGCACCTGCGAAGCCCGCCGAAAGTAAAGTTGGCGCGAAGGGCCAGAAAAAGATCGATTCGGTGGGGCTAGGGGTGGGTTTAGGGTGGGTGTCGGGTTGGGGTTGGACGCAGGGTTGGTGTAGGGTGGGTGTAGCGCTGGATGTAGGCTTGGACGTAGGGTGGCTTTAGGGTGGCTGTAGGGTTCCAATAGGGCGGGTTAGGGTGGGTGTACGGTCTGATGTAGGGTGGGTTTAGGGTCGGATACAGGGTCGGATATTGATATAGGGTGGGTTTAGGGTGGGTGTAGCAGGGTTGGATGTAGGGCGCGTGTAAGGCGGGTTGTAGGGTGGGTGTAGGGTGGGATGTAGGGTGGGTGTAAGGTGGGTGTAGGGTTGGATGTAGGGTGGGTTTATATAGGGTCGGAGAAAGGGTGGGTGTAGGGTTGGATGTAGGGTGGGTGTAGGGTGGGTTTAGGGTGGGTGTAGGGTTGGACGTAACAGCAAGAATGGCGGTACAAGCATGGGGTACTTCAACCCCAAATTTGGGCATGATTGTCGCGAAAGCTAGTCGTGTTTCTTTTGGTTGAGGAGCTGAGCTTCCCACAATGCCTGACTTAATTCGAAATCCCTGAATCGCAAGAGCAGACCTTAATTACCTGAAAAAGCAACACCCTTCGATCCCTGGCCCACCCCGCACGAGCATATGCCCAGAATCGCGTCCACTTATATTGCAGCTGGGGAATCGGTCGCATTGGGACCTTGTCCAAGTTTGAGTTTTAATGATTTCATGGAAGTTCGTATAGGGTTGCTATGTTTGATATCTTGGCTTGAAAAAGAATTGTTTGACAACAGGACTCAGAAGCAAAAAGACCAACCCCGGTTAAATGAAAACTCGGCTGTTTTTTTTTCCCCGCAAAACAGCAAAGCCCATCACCCTCAGACCAAACACCAGCGCAGCCGCCCACAAACACCGCACTTGCGCAGCGTGGCGCTGAAACCCACAAGTTGAGAGCTTGCAGACAACCCCCCCAATGCGAATCCCCAGGCACATAGTAATTAACAGCTTGAAGCAAAAAGCAAACAGCCTGAAGCAAGCAACGGCAAAACAGCCCGGTGGAATTAGAACTCGACTGTTAGACGCAAAGCCCATTAAAACAACCTAAAGACTTCACCCTCATACCAAGCACCAGCACAGACCCTGCGAACCAGTTATTTTAACAGCAACTGCGCGACCACTGAGCTATAGAAGTGCGCGACAAACCAACAAAAAACGGGTTCAAGCCGCACAAAGCAGCATAAAAAGCCAAGCCGCAAAGTTGGGCTTTGACACCTCACCGTTGGCTAAAAAGCCGCGAGAAGCAACACACACTCAAACACGCTCTAAACTTTAGCAGTGGGGCCTCAAGTACTAGCTAGTACCAATTCTTATACTATGCTCACCTCTCGGTCGCTTCGCTCCAGTCGCCTCAGGCCTGAGGCGACTACTCGGCGGATTAGTCCTAGGTTCTCAGACTTGGCCACAAGACGCCCACATGTCCTTTGCTACTGTGGATGGACAAAATCCTGCACCACCTAAGAAACCCTGGAAGGATGATTCTCCTATATATGCCAACAAATTATGGTTTCCCATGGTTTCTCGTCCATCCACAGTATGGCAGGCGGTGCACCAACGGTACCTGGGCAAAATGCCCACCTCGGTGCGAGCCCGCCGGGGACCCTAAAGCGGTGACCCAGGTAAAGGAGTTGGCGAACCCAGCCGATGTTTTGCGGCCAACATGGATTTGTTGAAAGGGGAACGCATCCGCCCCAAAATGGGCTCCGTGTGTTTTTTTGTTTGGCGTCCCTTTGAAAGGAGACCAAAAAGGACACAAGGAGAAAGGTCAACTGGGATTTGCTAAGCCACCGGCGCGGGAGAAAGTGGAACTTCGAGTTTTAGGATTTGTTTTGCCCAGGCCGCAACAATGATGTTCGTTCGGGGTGTTCATGTCAAAGGCTGCTTTAATGAACATAACAGATAGATGACCAAATGACCCCATGACTATTTGGGGTTCCCCATCGACCGTAGTGTGTGTGGTTCATGCTTCAACAAGGTCCGTACCATGGGGTTCACATAGTATGGGTTCATACGTTCAGCCTTTGATCATGATCTTCCTTGACCAGGTCAACGAATTTGCATGTTTTGCGCTGGGTGTCAAGCGCAGCAAAGAACTTTATGCCATGCCAGAACCATGCGTGGTAGTTGGCAGGAAAATGGTTGGCCAGCTTTGATCGCTACAAAGAGTGACAAGAGTGGAACCCATGCCAGTACTCGACTTGCTACTAGAAGTATAGTATTCCTGCATCCATATGTGTTTTGCCTTTGATTTGTTTGTGGAGGTGGAACATGTGTTGCAGAGCTATACTACTATTCGCACAGCCGGCTTCGCCGGTTTTCTTGTGAAACCGGACCTAAGGTTCATCAGTTGCCTTGCCACTTTGGGGAAGGTACAAACATTCTCCACCAGCTTGTGCAACCTTGAATTTCAAAGCCGGCGTTGCCTTCTCCCATAGACTGTCGGAAAATAAAGAGGTCCATGGTCCCCCCAAAGGACAGCTAGGTTTTTTGTTGAGGGGCAAACCGAGCCCTCTATCTTCTCTAAAGAACCCCCGCTGGTTGTTTGGCTCAGGGAAAGCCAAAGACCCTCAGACAAGAGGGCTCCATCTATTCGCTTGAGGAGGACTTGCAGCGATACGCACTTAAGATGTTCGAGTGGCGACGAGATTGTTTTGGCACTGGGACTTGGCTCAAATGGTTTAAATACACTCCTTCAGACTAACATGCATCCCAGAAGGCCGATCCTGCAAATGGAACCAAGTCTTCCGAAAGGGGTCCGTTCGGGAGCTTCCATGGAATCGCCTGGGGAAGGGTACGGCTTTCTGCGTTGGTTTGCGCAAGATGCGCCTGGATTTTATCGCAAGATGCAGTACGGCGGCACCCGAGTCTCGGATTGGCTTGTTCTGCCTACATGAATCCTGAAGGAAAGTGGGAATCTTGGTTGAATTGTCCTAGATATGAGCCGAAGCAACAGCCACTTGTTTTGGAAGAAAATATGCGTCTTCGACTGGACCGTTGATCAACATCACAAAGTCTATACAATACGCATTATATATATATATATACATATATCCAAACATCTATGGATGTGCACAGTCTTAAGTCTTCCATCCAACACTCTGGGCGTGGATCCAGCACTCTAGGCGTGGATTGAGCATATAATACATATATACAAATATGTGTACAGCCATTTTGGTGGTCAATCAACTGGGGTGAGCATTATATATATATATATATAGGTATACTTGTGTGTGTGTGTGTGACTCGCACGTCTCCCCGGGCCGCAGCTTGCTTCCTTTCGCAGGTGTCCAGCGACTGGGCCAGCGGCTGAGCGGCGCACAGGCGTGGTCCGGTCGCGGAGATTGGCCCCGAAACGGCGGCAATGTGGACTAGGTCCCTTAGTTTGGTGCCTTTTTACCATGGTTGTTGTTGGGAAACATTTTACATTTTTGCTTATTGTGGTTTAGTGGGAAATCCCCACTTAACTGCTAAAATTTGAATGTTTGCTCCCCTTTCAACGTCAACCAAGTTTTGTGGGTTGGGAGGGTTCCCCTACTAAAATTCACTACAAGAAGAGTTGGTACCCTTACTCTAACCTCTCTACTAGAAGGCCTCCAAAAATAATAATGGCATATGGCTGTTCCTCAAAATGCTTTTTGGGTGATTCAGGGAGAAAATGAAACCCGGTCAAATACACAACTAAGCTCACTACATGGGAACATACTGAACGAAATCCAGAAGTCGCACCACTTTGAAACCATGGAGAAAAATGGTTTGTTGGTATGTGCAAGGGGAATCATCATCGGGTTTCTTAGGTGGTGCAGGATTTCGTCCACCCACCATATGCGCTTTCTCAAATGGTGGACCGCTTTTGGGTGGTTATCAAGGGAACCCAAAAGGAAATTGCCCAGTTTGGTGTTCTCCTATTTTGTGCCATGGTCAAAAGATGACGCGTTCCTTTACTTGGTGTTGGTAGGGCTGGTGGACCCTTGTACAAGGAATATAGACGAGCATCATAGGGACTCCTTTTCAGGAATGACCATGGCCCTTTGCCATGAGTTTTGACCATGGCACATTGGTGGTGTCTTTGTTTGAGGGCACCTATGTTGGTTGGTTTACAGGGAAACCAAAAGGAACACCATTTTGGTGGGCCCAATATGAAAGGACCGACCCGCATAGACACACATGCCGATATAGGTTGGCTTCCATTTAACATGTCCGGAAGAGGGTACCCACAGAATTAGACACCCAGACTGGCGAGCCAGGTGGCTGGAAGGGAGCGGTTCTGGAGATGCCTTGAGCTACCTGGAGTTCTGTGCCCTTTTACCCTTTTTGGGGGGAGGGCTTCCCTACTAAAATAGACTACAGAAAAAAGGGTACCCTTATTCTAACCTCTCTACTGGAGGACCTAGTAGCAGAAACCCATTCCAGCGCATGTCAGCCCCCAGCCCACCCAAGTTGACCCTGCCAGAGGTTCGCATATGGACATTTCCCATCCAAAATGTCGGGTTTCCTTTTGGTTGGGTGGGAAAAGGAATGGCAAGCTGTTGTAGGTCCTCCCCAAAACAAGCGTAGACACTGTACAGAGGTTCCTGGAAGACCATTCCTTTGACCAGTGTGCAGGTTCCATGGTTGTTTTTTGAGAGGGGACCCAATCAAAGTGGCGGGCCGCTGTGTTTGCAGGGTAGCAGTTTCATGCCTGGGAACAAGCCATTTGAGTATGTGTCAAAATCAGGGTACATTGGTTGTCCATTTGTTTTGTGGTTGTCCATTTGTTTTGTCCTTCTGGTTCCCTTTGTAAGCAACCTTGAACAGGTTACCCTTCCAAAAACACATTCGGAATTCTTTGAACTTCCAAAAAAACAGCTTACCTTGCTTAACAGGAAACAAAGTGAGTGGCATTCCTGTTGGTTCCCCTTAAAACAAACAGCACAGACACCCAGAGCTCCTCTCCTCGGCTCGCGCCTGCGCGCCGCGCGACGCGAGGCCGCCCAAGCGCGGGGCGCCCCGGAGGCGCTGGCCTCCGCGGCGGTGGAGATCACCGCGGGGGAACTCGGCGGCGGCGTCCAGTTGGCTGTGGTTCAAAACCAATGGTACCATAGCGAATCGACCTTTTGGCCTTTTTCGGTTTTCCAATTTTGGCCCATTTTTAGTAGAGGTGCCAAAAGGTTAATCCTTAAGTTCTGGGTCCTTTGGGCAACCGACAGCTTCTGGGGATTCCAGGGAACGGTCGGATGTTCCTCAAAAGGCTGTGGTTGTCAAAACCCATGGGATCCCATTTTGGTTGGTAGGTGAATTCACCACCCGTTTTAGAACCTATTCTCGTGGTTGGATTGGGATGTTCACTGGGGGTACGATTTGGATTTTGACCCATGGCCATTTGGGTGTGGCTCAAAATCAAACAGGAGGGGTTTATTACACGGGTTTTGGTACCCATGTTTCCACTTACCAGGGCAACCCATTTTGGAAATCCGGTTGTTTGAGCCACAGCCATTTGGCGAAGAATATTTTTGCTTTTCCCCCTGTCGAATGGCCAAGGTACAAACAAAATGCCAATGTCACAGCATGTTTTGAGAACGACGCTCATGTGCTATATATTAATATCGAATGGCCAAAGCATGTTTTATGTTCTTAAGCGGGGTTGCAAAGAGGTTCAAGGCTGCTTCCATTTGCTGAAATGAATAGTTTGGTTATTTTCCCCTGTTGGTTTTGAAAGGGAATCGACTTCACTACTGGATTTGTTTGTTTTTTCCAGGGGACTTAAGAAAATGGAGGGCGGTGAGCGCAGTTCAGCTTTTGGATTTCTCAAGCAACGACTTGGCCTGGAACTTGACTGCTATTGGGTAACGGATCTTGAGACTTTCACTAATCCCCAAAAAAGTTAAACCTTTTGCAGGGGGGTCAACAGCAACCTTTTGCTTGAATGTTAGGACTTTAACCTTTTTGCCAACGAATGGGTTTTCCATTAAACCACGGAAAGTTAAGCTTTTAGCAGGGGAGCAGAAAGCAACTGAGAGTATCTCACAACTTGGCCTTGAACTCTGGCTCTGGAATCTGCCAAATGTTCGCCATATTCTCCCAAAAGGACATACCGAAAAGGAATGTGTATGTTCAATTGAATTGGTCAGAACCCTTTGTTTGAGTTGCCTGGTTCTCGAAGAACCTGCAAAAAAGTGGGGTGGGCAGTAAAAAATCAGGTTTTGCACCTGCTACTAATCAAATACCAGGTTTTCGGTTGAAGAATGTGGTTTTGCTTCCTGAATCCCGAGATTTTGGAGTAGCAGGTATGGACTGCCCCTGAGGAAAACCATCCAACTGGTGGTTTGCTTCAAGGGAAGCCCTGAAATCATTCCATTTCTGAATCCCCACCAGCAAGAAGCGGGGCGCGTGCAACACGCGTGGCATGCTTGGGGCGTGGGGCGCTTGCAGTTGCCATGTGTTTCCCCGTTTTGTTTGAAGGAACTCGAAAAAAAAAATCATAGGCGAAGCCAGGACACGGTTCCGCCTTTTTTCGGGGCGGAACGGGAAGAAGGTTCGTATTTGGCGGACGAGCCTTTGGAGCGGAAGGGAGGCTGTTTGAAGCGATCGGTGGAAAGCTCGCTTTGGTCATGCCGTATTCGGCTCATGAAATGGACGACTTCAGCTTCTAGTTGTTGGTGTGGTGAATGGGGAATGGGCCCTCCATTCCTCGGGCAGGCTACACCTGGTAATCCTGGATTTGGAGGTGTCCAAGAATTGGAAATTCACAGTGGAGATGGCAAAACAATCTAAGCATTCGCGCGACTCCAATCATTCGAGCCCAATCAAAGTCCATGCAATCCATCGATTTACCACGCCGACCTGACAGAACACCTACTGAAACCGCTGGAGTTCCACTCGTTCACTGAACTTCCATTTGCTTCAGATTTTCTCCCTGTTTGTTTTAGAATCTATCACTACTGGATTTTGTTTATGTTTTCCAGGGGTCGAACAACCAAATGGAAGTGAACGAGCCTGGGGTAGACTTAGGATACAATGTTACATTTTACCAGTGACTCAAAGTGAAGCAAACACTAAAATATACGTTCTATAACTGGGCCTAACCCTAATTATGGAGCGGAATTCACCGGAGCATCAGCCTCCGCCGAGGTGCTTCAGCAGTGCACGCGCATCCTGGGCGAGAACTGCGAGAAGTACGCGGACCTCCTGGAAAGGCCCCAAGGGGCAGTCTGAGAGGCTCAAATGCATAGGTGTCCTTTTTAGTTGGTTTGCTTAAAAAATAGAGGGCCCTAATTTAGATGGGGATTATTCCATTTACCAGGGCCATCTATTTTTCCAAAAGGCCACCTATGCTGAAATGAGCCACGTGCTCAAAAGGAACAAAAGGTTGCCATTGCTGTGGGCTCTTGTTCCTTTCTTTTTGGAGGGGATTCCCTTTACAGTCACAAAGGGTCGACCGTCACCAAGTTTACAGCCCACCGCCAATTGAGTCACAATCAACACCCGGGTAGATGAAGGTTAGTAAGGGACAATCCCAGCCACAAATAGCTGCGGAGATCCGCCTTCGTAATTCTTGAACCATGGTTCTGGGATTACGACCACTTTAGTACCGGGTTTTGATGACTCAAATGGGTATTGGTTTTGAGGGTACCGCTTGGGTAGTTTTCACATGACTCTCTCTCTCTCTAAATCGCTCTGAACTTTCAGAGTAACCCCTCAAACTTGGCCTTTTGATTCCCCACCCCATTTTGATTCTCCAAAAGGTCGGGACTCATGAAGAAATTGTTGAGATCCCAACTGGATCTCTACGATTCCTGCCCCCCCTCCCCATTCCCCTCCCGCCCCCCCCCCCCCCCCTCGTTTTGGGACGGGTCTAAATTTTAGATGCCAAAGGGTTTCTCAGAAGGGACCCCCAGGCGGGCGGTTTTCTTTTCTTCCAGTTGCTTAAGAATGTGTTTTATTTTTCCTTGTTGGTTTTAAAAGGAATTTATCACTACTGGAAATATTGTTTTATTTTTCCAGGGGTCTTAACCAAATGGAAGTGTAGATTTCCCTTTAAAGCCAGGCAAAAAAGGGGGTCCGAAATCCGTTTGCACCACTTTGAAACCATGGTTGAAACCGTTGTTTGTTGTTTATTGACAGGGGAATCGAATATCATGCAATTGGGTTTTCTGAGCGGTGGTGCGATTTCTGGATTTCGCAACTTTTCAGAGTATGGTGAAACTCACCATAAATGGGGCATATGGGGTGTCCCCCCAGTTTGCCTCTGAGGGTTGCTCTCTATCATCCAGAAAAATGAAACTCACAAACTCAGCTGGTTGCTCCTGGTTTAGTGGTTAGATTTCCATCGAACCCACAAGTGAGTCACTTTTAGCGGGGGGATCTATATAACAACGGACAGCCCAGATATGTGGTGTCCCCCAAGTGTCCCTGGTGGGGGTAGTTGACACCATCTTGGATCTGTTGATTCCCCTTGTAAAACCCAACAAACGTTGTTTTAATTTTGGTTTTCTCAACAGGTGCGATTTCGGTGCCCCTCAAAAAGACAACACCGAGCCATCGCGGTCCATCCCAATTTCCCTCTGGTGTATTGACAATACCCCCATTAAGGCCGCGGTGGTTTGGTAGTTGACACCATGGATCTGTTCATTCTTCTGTTGATTCCCCTGTTCCCGGCGATCCCCTTAGCTTCTTATAGGGAGCTCGCGACCATCCCCAGTATGTCCCCATGTAGTGACTAGGTCTCCCAGTAGTGCCCTTTCTCGGGGCAGGGCTCCCCTACTAAAATAGACCACATAGAAAAGTTGGTACCCTTATTCTAACCTCTCTACTGGAGGACCTAGGTGAGTTTCCGAGTTTAGTGTTTTTCTGGGTTTCTCATCCCCCCAAGTAAGTATGTCTCCCCATGTAGTGAGTTTCTGAGTGTTGTTTTTTTTGTCCCAGTTTGCTTTTCCTGTTTTTTTTTTTTTTTGGTGTGTGTTTTTTTGTTGGGTGTTTTTTTTTTTTTTCTGGGTTTGTGGGGCGTTTCGGGTCCATCCCCGTCCCCAGGGTGGGCTTCACCTTGGGCGACGATCTGGAGCCCGTCTCCGACGCCTTGCTGGAGTCTCTGGAGCAGCTCCAGGCGCGATGTGAGCGCCGACTCGATGCTGGGGGGGGGGAAATGGGCGGCTGGTCTTTTGGGGTTGAAGCCTTGTGGGCTTCAAAGGGAGACCCAATATAGGACAGTCACCAAGTTTTGGGGAGGCCCAAAATGGGAGCTCGTTGCGTCTATTTTGGAGGTGGCGTCCTTTTTCGGACATGTGAAAGGGAAACCCAAACGGAACAGACCGAAAATCGGGGGGGAGGGGTCCTCTATATGGGTATGTGTCTTCATGGGTCTGTCGTTTTTGGAGTTGGTACCCTTTTTGTGGGTTTTGAGAGAAACCAACAGGGGGTCCAACCGGAAAAAAAGGAATAAAAACAAAGATGTGGCCCCACCAACACTGGGTAGTGACGGGTAGCAAAGATGCCCTACCAAAATAGTGATAATGTGTTTCTTTTGTTTTTCTGGGACATGTGGTTGAAGCTTCGGATCCTGTTTGGCTTGTTCAAGGCCGTGGCGGCACTGGTCATGGGTGTATGTTGTGTTTTGTGACACCGGACGCGGGGCAATAGGTGCCCTACGATTCTTTTCCCCCATTCATGTAAGGTCTCCTAGCAACCGACGCCAGAGTCCAACCCGGCTTGGTGACTTGTTGCCGCATCTTCCCGGGCTTTCTGGGCAGCTTTCCCTAGGCACGGCGACCGCTCCTGTTTTCTGCCCGCGCGTTTACCCCGCCTGACGGGGTTTTTTGATTGAGACTCCACGTTCCGCGTTCCCAACAGAGGGCGTCTGCTCTCATTCGAAGCTTCCCTTTATTTCCGAGTCCAGTCGGGCCCCCTACGGGAAATCGCCCTCCCCCGTGGCGAAACGAGCATGAAACTCCCTCCCTGAGTTCCTGCACTTTGACTTTTTCGAAGACCATGTCCAGGGGAAAGCCCAAAGAGTTCCCTAAACCCACCAAAACCCCCCTCTCCCCCCCGAAGAACAGAGAAGAGCAATTGCTTCCAAACATGTCCTCGTATTTTTTGCCCGGGGACGAAACAAAAACAATCCCCCACCCCCAAACCCCACCAAAAAAACCCACCCCCCGAAAACAAATCCCGACACAACCCCCCCCCAAAAAAAACACGCACACACACACACACAAACCCACCCCCCCCAAGAAAAAAACAAACACCACGCCCACCACTAAAGAAAACACACCAAACCCCCCCGCACCAAAACCCCCCCAAGCCCAGTCCTTCGCGGACGCCCTGGCGCGCCTCAAGTCCGCGGCGGAGTCGGGGCCTCCGCCGGGCATCTCCTGCCGCGCGCGGCGCGAGGGCGCGACCGGAGGCCGACGGAGGGGCGGGCGCTTTCCCGCTTTCGCCCGAGCTTGGGGCCCTTCAAGGTCCATTTGGCGGAAATTGAATATGTGTTTTGTTTCCCCGTTGTTTCTTCTTCTTTTTTCCGATGTTTTTTTTAGGGAACCGAACACTGGTCTTATGTCTCTCTTTTCTTCCGTGCGAGCAACTGGAATCTCAACTTGCCTACCTCGACATGGCACATGGGAGCCCTTCAGCATTTGCAACCTGAGGGGAAATTGTTTCAACAGTGGGGGCAGACGAACTTTTGAAAGGGAAGTTGTTTGACCCCCAACTATTAACTATTGGGGGTATTTCTTGGACTAGGACCCCATTGTAGACTTTTTCTAAAGGGAACCAGACGCTGGGGGTCCTTAATTTTGACGGCTGGACATTTGCTCGGCATCTGATGGTAGATTTGATCAGCCCGATGTGTTCTGAACATCATCTCAGACATAGATATGAGACGTGCCAGATATAAAGCTACTAGACATTTGCTGGAAAAAGCTTCAACAGATTAAATATACTGGAAACCCCGACACGTGCTAGGTATTTGCTGGGAATAAACCAGACACATGATCACTAGACATGTGTTCATGATTCGAGGCATGCTGGCGCTAGACATATGACTGACATGTGCTGGACGTATACTAGAAAGATAGGATGCTGCCACACATAGGCTGCAGAACTGCCAGACATGGGCTCTAGCGGCTTTATAGCTCGCAAATGGTGCAGCAGGGTAGGGGTCTCAGCATGGACATATATATATATATATAGATACATATGGTACCCTCCCCCCCCCCCCCCCGAAATACTCAGGTTTTCGTCCAAACATTGACATGTTTGCTGTAAACATGCACGTAAGATGCACTTTCCAGCTGCTAAGAATGATGCTCAAAAATGCACTCTTGTTTTAGACCTAAATTATAGCATCAGTACTTAGTGCAATCCAGGATGTGCTAGCACATATCAGTTTGACCTAAGTAGGGATTTGACGATTTCCAGAAAAGTGGGCTGAGAATCTTCAATCCCGGATGTGCTAGCACGTGCTAGCACATCTTGGATTGCCCTTAGTCTTAGTACATACTTTTCAGGAATCCAATCAAGAGTTGTCAACGAACCTTCAATCCTCAATCGTCAATCCAGGATGTGAAAGCAGATCCTGGATTGCCCAAGTGTGGAATCTGACAAGGCGGACAAGCAGCGCACGTTCCAAGAGGCAAAGTGTGGATTATGGAATCCCGCCAGCTATCTTAAAGGGGGTCAAGAAGCGTGTTGCGCGCAACGATCATGTGTTCCTTCTGTGTCAGACTTAAACGATTTGTTTCGTTGAGTTGGGAAAGTTTAACTCATTCCTTGCGATGTGTTGCAGTCTGTCCGACTCACCTTGAGACGTTCGAGGCCTGTCGTGCTTTATCGAGTCGGCCGCCCAACCTATCCTGTCACGGCAGCTGAGTCACTCAAGACGGTTTCATCGCCAAACCGCTGCTAGCCATGTTTTTGGTGGTGCTGGGTCACTCCATTGGCGGGCGTTCTGAGCAGCTTTTCCGGGTCCCTTTTCGCAATCCTCGGCGGGCTCGGATGTTTTCGCGGCGGCTTGCCCTCCTGTTGTGTTTGCACTGTGCCTGCCAGTGGGAGGTGGCTGTCTACCGAGTGGACCCAGGTTGTTGGCCAGATGATTTTTCGCGGCCATTGATTCGCTGGACTTGCAGCTGAACAGGTTGATCATGGTGGTTGGGGCCGGGGTAAGCAAGAGACCCACTCAGAAGAGTGTGTGGACTGCATCGTCAAAACAATCTGACGTCCGTGCGTCTCCTAAGCAGCCCATTGATTTGCAGTTTGGTTTTGTTTCCTTGGGTTCAATCAACAGTGGTTGGCGGTTGACCTTGTTGTAGTTGGAGATCAGCGAGATTTCCCTGACCCCTCGCAGCTTGCAGCAGATGCCTGTGATGTTTCAGAGGAGGATGATGTTGGGCTTTTTTGTTTTTGCGGACTATGATTGTTTAGTCTGAGTTCTGGGCGTGTTCAGCTGCTCAAACCTTCCGTTTCAATAGCAGCAGGCAGTCGTGAGTCGTGACATGACCCACACTCATGAGGGAAACTATTCACTTGCTGCTCTGCCTGGCAGCGCTGGCAGCGCTGCAGCTACCAATGAAAGAGGTCAGCATGAACAGTCGAAAAAAAAAACAAAAACTTTACACCAAACCACTTCAGCGATCAACAACACGTTGATTGCTTTACCTGAACGGTCGATGGCCAATGGCAGAGGGAGGCCGCCAGCGGGCCGGCATCGCGCTGCCAAACGACGTGTGCTTTGTTTTCCACATTGCGGCGAGCAAATTTGTGTCCTTCTCAGCCGTTGATTCAAGATGCTCCCCCGCAAGACTACTTCTGCATGGAAGATTCGCAACTCCCCACACCTCCAACCTACCAAGCAAGGGCCGGCGGAATTTGTCCCGCATGCTGCAGGCTGATGTCTCTCAGATCAGAAGGAATTTCATTATTGAAACTGATGACGGTGAATCCTTGTCATTGGCAGCTACTGCCGCGCGGCTTCAGGTCTTAGGTGCAGAGTGTCCCCTTGCTCTGGACAATTGGCGTGAGTATGACAGCCTCTTCAGATTGCTCATGCAGGGGGCCGCTGTTCCATGGGAAACACATCAAAGGGTTGTTGGGGTTGGTGCTCTCCAACCACAGGCATCGCCATTGACAGAGATTGGCGCTTTTTTTCAGGAGTGCCGTGACGCTGTGCAATGTCAAGATGTTGCACGGGCTTTGTCAGTTCTTTCAGCGTTGCAAGCAACACTGGTTGTCACAAGTGGGCGCCAAAAGCGGGCCAAGGGGGGTTGGCAGTATTCTCCTGGACACGTTTTGCAAACGGTCCTGCTAGCTGATGAGGCCCGTGATATTTCTCGTCTGCGTGAGACAGCAGTGGCCTCATTGAGGCTTATGCTACACGAGCAACTACGCGACCACCTTTGCCAGCAGGAGTTTCGCACGCCATCAAAAAACACAGTTCTCCGAAACCGGATTTCCGTGGACCTGGCTTCCATGATTTTTTGCCGAGACTTTCTTCTGCGAGCAAACGGCCAGTTTGTGTCCCATTTGAGGATTGATGCTAGCCCGCAGTATTCCAAAGAGTATTGCGTGTGTGAGTTGGACATCGTGGGCACCGACTCGTTTGCCTTGCAACACAGTTTATTCAGAATAGCAGATGGGATTTCGGTCAGATTGCTCCCATTACAGGTCCTGGGGAACAAGGCCACCACTACCATGCACAAACTTCGCTGTTTGACATCTGCCCTTCAGTTGGAGAGCGCGTCTTTACCAGTTACTTGCTCGAACATTTACACAATACTGACCGACATGGGCGCAGAGCGTGGGTTATGGGTGGCTCCCAATGTGACGAGTGACGAAGACCACCTGTCATATGTGTTCCCGCGGCATTTGCCACTGGCAGACATGGACCACTGCCTGCACCATGACGCCCGGCTAGACTGACTCAATTGTGTGGCAATCGCTTGGGGCAACATGTTTACTGATGGAAACAAACTTGTTATCAATATGCTTTGTGTGCCCGGCACGCGCTGAGGTAATGTTGCGAATGGAGGATGGTTTTGGAAACTGGAAGGACTTTATGTTCAGGCTGAACTCCTTGTCGAAGTATTTCGGACATCGGGGAAGGTTGGACCGGTTTCGCGACTTGTTCATCGATCGGTCCGAAAATGACGCCTTTGCCAAGGACAGGGTTGTGTTCTTCAAGTCTTCAAGCATGCGGCTAGCTTTTCTGGTTTGGTCTTAGCCTGTGGCCTGCTGAAGTGAAGGTGTCCTTGCCGCAGCCTGATGAGAGGGATTTACATTGAGTTCGGGGGTGCTCTCAAAAGTCGAGCCCCTACCGCATTCATGGTTTGGCATGTGGCCAGGGGCACGGTGCACTTACAATTTGGTTGGAACGGCTGGGAAGTTGTGGCAGGGGAAAAAGCCGCCCCGAGGACACCCACCTTCGCGGATCCTTGAGCAAGCTCATGACAGTGGTGTGCCCTGATCTAGCAGAACACCGGTGGGAATACGTGCGCCTTGGTGTTGCGTTAGCCGCGCAGATCTTGCTTTTGAATAGAAAAGCCACCACGCTCGGCTACACCTCGGTCACACTTCGCTTACACCTTGGTTACGGTTACACCTTGATTAAACCTTCTTGTCACACCTTGGTTACACTGTTACACCTTGGTTACACCTTGGTTACACCTTGGTTATAGCTTGGTTACACCTTGGTTTGACTTGGTTACACCTTGCTTACTACCCCTGGTTACACTTTGGTTATGCGTTGGTTACACCTTGGTTACACCTTGGTTACACTTTGGTTACGCCTTGACACTTTGCTTACACCTTGATTACACCTTGGTTACACCTTGGTTACACTTTGGTTGCACCTTGGTTGCACCTTGGTGCACTTTTCTTACACCTTGGTTACACAAGGGTAACATTGGTAACATCTAGGGCACCCCTTGGTTACGCTCTGGTTACACCTTGGTTACACTTTGGTTACACTTTACACTTTGGTACACCTTAGTTGCACCTTGGTTAAACTTTGGTTACACCTTGGTTACACGTTGGTTACACTTTGGTTACACCTTGGTTACACCTTGGTTACACCTTGGTTACACCTTTGTTGCACCTTGGTTACACCTTGTAAACCTTGGTTGCACTTTTGTCACACCTTGGTCACCTTGGTTACACTTTGGTTATACTTTAGTCAGGCCTTGGTTACACTTGGGTTACACTTTGGTTGGACTTTGGTTACACGTTGGTTGCACCTTGATCACACCTTGGTTAAACCTTGGCTGCGCTTTTGTCACACCTTGGTTGCATTTTTGTCACACCTTGGTTACACCTTGGTTGCACTTGTGTCACACTTTTGTTACACCTTGGTTATACTTTGGTTACACTTTGGTTACACCTTGGTCACAGTTTGCTTACAGTTTGGTTACACAC